CAAAACAAAATGCATATTTGGTCGTTTCTCAAGCAAATGAAAGTCACATGAATTTTCATACAAATGAAGTGATGCATAGTTGATAGTTCTGTCAATACAAGTCACAAGGCTCTGCATTACTGACAGCATTCAACAATTTTGTTGGTTTAAACAGGAAATGACGTCACAGTTTAAAAGCCCCACACTGCGAAATTTTAAGCGCAGGGCTCCGTGCCGTGCGGTAATTTCATATAACCTGCTCCGCATTTTCTGCATGGCAGTGTGAAACAAACGACACCCTGTCTATAAAATAGTTTCCCAATGTTAAGAATAATTGATGAATTTTTCTTCGCTTTTGATTGGTCAGCGGATAGCGGAAAAGGTTTTTGAATGACGATTTTGGTGTAAGTCGATATTCGTCTCCGCCGTCCGTGTACTACTACCATGTATTCCCCCTGCAAGCTTACCGTGAATGGTTTTTGTACGCTTTCGTCTATCGTTGTCTCACTATTTTGACCTAAGAGTATCCACGTCACGATATACACATATACTCCACATCCGAGCTTCAGAGCGGATCTAAAATAAGATGATAAAAAATACACATCAATAATGAATACAATAACTCTTTCCCCGTCAAAGGTTATCCCAGAAGTTAAGGACTTCAGGAAATCGTGTGGTGGATGAGGATATTACATCTTCTCATTATCTTAGTAAATATCTCCGAACAGTTCATGTTTCATACTCTCAATACACTGTTTTCCAGTCTATGGGATTATGTTTACTTGAAACCTTGCCAAGTATCCACCTATTTAAGAAATGACCTTGTCGGTCCGACACCTAAAATGGGTGATTTGAATGTAAATTCTTGCTTTTTTGTTTTCTGGCCACTAAAATACAAAAAAAAAAAAAAAGAAGAGAAATTTCACATCTCATTTCTACTTCACATTCCAATTTAAATAGGAAGCTTTGTTGTTCGACTGTGAATATATTACTATTTGCAGCGTGCTACTCTGTCCCGATTTCAGATTTCAGATCTCCGATCGACAACGGTTTTAAGAGATAGTTGTTTGGGGCTGTTGGGGGTGCAGGGTGGGCGTCAACCGTTAGAATGTACAAGAAAAACAACAATATCTTAAATAAAAGCTGTATACAAAATCTATCCATCGAGGTTTATTACTGCACACAGACAAGAAATTCCTTTCGTGAGAGAAAATCGTCTCAGACAAGATTTAAGACTTTATATAAGCTAGATCTTAAGGCTTCATGATGCATTATCAACTTCAAGAGGGTCAAGAAACATCCACTTTAATAGCCAGGAAATAAGTTACATTCTTATTCTTCGTTTTCACGTTACGTCATCGTGGCCATGTTGGTACCATTTAACAAAAGATTTCTCATTAGCATCCATTGTTAACGGTACCACAATGGCCGCCATGTTTTTGTCTTATTTGTCTATTGAAATATGAACAGAAATATTTCCTAAGCTCAAGCATGTGAAAATGCGAGAATCAACCTTGACCAAGAAGAAGTGAATCAGTGATCAGATTTCTTGGCCTTGACCTTAGAGGAATGCCCGGCAATAAACACGCACCATGCCATAAACCCTTTGAGCTAGATCCTAAAATTCCCTATAAAAAAAGGATGTCGTAACTATCGATTACACACTATTTACAGCACTAAAAGACATTTCTTCACTATGAAGGATCCGGCTGTTCATAAAGTTCGTGCATTACTGTTCAAACCAGTTACGTAGCGAGATCCCGTATCACGGGGCCAGATTTTTCATAGAAACTTTAAAAAGATGGAAACGATCAGTTTCTTTGCGTTTATTGAACACTATTTACTCGCATAGCACATTTCCAAGTTTTATCCCAACATCGAACAAAATCTTTTTTTCAGTTTCTCTCATTCTAAGTCAACGTTTCCACCCTTTCCTCCATTGGCTTCTGGTTTAACTTTGAAAACTACTGCACCAAAATCTATTACTTATTCTTCCTCGTACTTCAGACCTTGCTTCTCTAAATTTCCTTTCAAAGACCCTATCGGCTTTTTGCGAAACTGGCCTTGTTCTTTCCTATCCCAACTTGGTTTCTGTAGTGCCATATATGGTGTCGTTTGTGCATATATAGAGAACCTTGATTTCCTGATTGAAAAGACCTATGGTTTTATTACCAACTGGATATAAATAGTCTGCGACGTCACTACAAAGCTAGATTAAATGTACTGAGATATAGACGCATTACTGCGGGAAAATTATTGCAAAGATGGATGCTAAGTGTATGTACCCTGAATGGTTTTGCAGACCCCAACGTCTCGCAAGACAGGCACGCAACACAGAATCAGGCTTTTAGAACAATTAATTGTGAATGTGAAACCAAAATTAAGCAATTATACGTAGTCTTTAAATGCAAAACAGCGGTATTCACGCAGGAAACATAAGATGAACATTGAAATGCTTTCATACCCCCTTGAGGGCTCGCAATTAACTTTCGCATGAACGCTTAATAATATGAGAATTAATCGATAAATACTGTTTTTGTCGGAAAACTCGAATCGTTTTCGTTAAAGAATCAGTTTCATTTTATATTATYCTAAAAGCAAGATGAAAGGAAAGGGTAACCATTCTAGGGAATAGAATCAGGCCAAAAACGCTGACCCTTATAATAATAAGCCAAATAACCATACTAGTTCTGTCAAGACTTTTGGTTTCATCATATGTAAAACACTGAAAAGAGTTTTCTTCCCGAAAGAAAAATATCGCCACTGAGCAAAAAATACCGCCAAGTACGTGGCTAGAACCTCGAGATATTTCTTCGTAAAAGACCAAATAAAATGGATGACCTGATTGTTGTTAGTACATGAACCTTGGGGGATAATTTCGATAATTCAGTAATGAAGTCTTGAATCCGGAGAAACTTCACTAACCTACCGCTGGCTGAATTTAAGTCTTACTTGATTGACAAGAAATGCGACTCTAATGAAAGTAATGACAGATTTTCTCGTAATGTGACAATATTAGGAATTGAAAAATTATTATTTCAAAATCTAAACACGAATTTAAGAATCCAAGTCGGAAAATACTTTCCGATGCCGGGGGATAGGTAATGAGGTTTTATTTGTCAGTGCACAGGAAAGCATTATATTTCCATTTCGTACATCGCATTTTCTGGAAGATCAAAAGTCGAACTGCGTATTTGCCATAAAGTTAAAAAGAATAAAGACTTAAGTCTCATCGAGAAGAAAAGTCACAAGAAAACTTAGAAAGAAATGCAGTTTTCGTTTGTTTTATCAGCTACAACCCTACTGCTGAAGACAAATAAACGCGATAAACCCTTCAAGAAAACGCACGTCCACTAATCTTAAACCTCATTAAATATTCAAGGGCATAAAATAAACATTCCATTATTTAATATTTACTTGTTCACGTAAAATTTTGAAAATTTTGCATTTTGAGGTGAAAAGAATCGTACCATGATGGAACTCGGCGGAAATGGTCTTGAATTCTGAATACATATTTAACGGAAACGCACAAATGTTGGGATAAAAAATATTCCTACTGCTAATGAAAGCCGAAACAAAAGATCACCGAGTGTTCATCGTTTAAAAACGTTATGCAGCTTTGAACGCGCACAAAAGAAACGGCTCATTTAGTTTCGCTTTAACGGTAATACCCCCATAAACTCATTTATCACTCCATTGAGTTCGGGAATAAATTTWWAAAAAAAACAAATAACGCTTTGGCAGAGCATTCAACACATTTTCTGCGTTTGTTTGTTGTTGTTGGTTTTTTTYCCCCAAGAATGAGAGTAATTCGCTTATTATTCCGAAAGGAAGGCTTGAATTTCTTGGATAAGATTAGAGGGAAACCTCTGACAGATTTCCGGTGTCCTAGTGTTTCAAGCTGGGGTATCGCTCTGCACCCATTCTGATGTCATCAACAGAAGCAAGCTCGGACAGGCAATGATGCCGCTTCCGAAAGCTTACCGTAGCAATCTGCTTAGTTGCAAAAAAAAAAAAAAAAAAAAAAAAAAAAAAANAAAAAAAAAAAAAAAAAAAAAAAAAAAAAAAAAAAGAAACGAGAAGCAAGACATTTAAATCTATAATAATCCTAAAAATAAGCGCTTAGCTCAGTGTTGATTCATTTGGCATTGTTTTATCTATTTGTAGAAGCAACAGGTAGCTGATAACCTTGTCAAAAGAACTAACATATTGATACTGGACTGTATATATTCTCAGGTTTGACCTCAGCAAATAAATAATCTAGAAGTTCCACAATTTGTTCAAAATACTCTTGGTAGATATTCCTAAAACACCGACAAAGCTTCTAGAATCCTATTTATCCCGGATTTTCCTTGCTACTTATGTAACAAAATATCCTTTACATTCTCACATCTTGCGCAAGTGATATTTGAGGCCTTAGAATCTTTAGAAATCAATTAGACATTTTGACTACTCTGATAGACAATTTCTATAGTCTTCATAGATGTACTGTATTGTTGTTCAATTGTAAAAATATCCCGATTAATAGACATGTTTTATGGACTGTAAATTCCTATTCAGTGCAGGTCATTGTCCAATGTCAAGGGTAAAGGGTTCTCTTACCTGATCGCTCCCAGCTCTAGTGCGTCTTTTGCTCTTCTTGCCACAATAGGCATCAAAGATAAATGACTGATTTCGACCATAGGCCAGAAGAAACTAAACAACGCGGTTAATACTCCGTAGTATGTTAGTAAAACCCATTCTTCTGCCTTCTCGCCGCAATAGGGACAGGGCGAGTACAGGAATGGCCAAATTAATGCAATCCCAGCACTTCCAATCAGATGCCAAATCTTCTTGTTGCCGTACCGTTTTTCAATTCTTTTGGACATCCGTTTATCGCAAGCGTATCCTATCAAAGGAGTCGAAATAGCATCGGCTATCTGAGAGACCACGAATATATACCCCGCATTCACGGGAGAGAGTTTGATAACTTTTGTGAAGTAGATCAGAATATAACTAAACCAAGCTTGGATGCACAAGTCGTTGAAGACATGACCAACACCATAGCTGATTTTTTGCTTGAGCGGTGTCCTGTCTTCTCTCACTAAAGCAGGCTTTCTTTCTCCGCGAATTCTCTGTATAAGGGCTTTCATCTTTCTTATGAATTGCTTAGCAAATTCGCCGCATGGAATCTTGTACGACCCAACTCCGCTCTAGTTCTTTGTCAAAGCCAAGATAAAGTGGCCGAACAAACAGTCCGCAAGCCTGTTAAAATAAATCTCTGGTTAATGATTCATTAAGTAAAAGGTTAGCTTAGAAACATGATATTTGGTGTTAAACGTGACATTTGGAAGGTCGATATTTCTAGGACTTTCACTAGTTTTTTTTTTTTTTTTTACTGTAAATTTTAGAATTATAAACCACATAAAAAACCCCAACTAACCCATATTGTTGGACTTTGAACCGTTTCACATGTTCTTTAATTAAAAAAGCCTTTCAATTGTTTATTATTTTCTGAATATCATTAAAAAATTTCTAAGATCGTGATCATGAATTTCCTAACTTCAATCGAGTGTAATTCCTATTTCCTTACCTCGAGTCCGATGGAAGAAATCTTTTTTAGCTTTTGCAAAGTCTGCAGTTCAAGACCCGTCGAACTGTGAAGGAAAAAAATTTTCCTTTTCYTTCTGGTTGAAATTGAAAAAGTCCGGTGCTACGAGCTTGAAGCTTTTTTATTCCTTGATCGAAGAAAATCTCCAGACGAAACGATCTTTGAAGCGAGGGAACGTCTTTCCAAAGGCTGATCGAATGCGATTTGAGGGTATCTCGACCGGAGCAGCAAGCTTCGGGAAAAACCGTTTAAAATATGCCTTGCACAAAGCTGATGAAATCATATGACAAGCAGCGCTTGTGTTGTTTTGATGAAAAAGCTGAAGTGTCATTTTCTATCGCTAGGGAGGAGTGGGATGGTATAAAATGATTTAACCCAAAATACCTCGAAAATTGTACAAATTTTGGACACAATTTCATCAATAATTCAGAATTACTTTTCTTAATAAATGTACATGCCAAATTAAGAGAATATGGTTCTTTCGAGGATATGATTAAGCAGGCCAAAAACTACTTATCAGTATACCCCCGTAAAAAATAATTTTGCCAGTTGCTTCGATTTATTTTCTGACGTCACAAGTCACGCGCTCTGCGCCTTTGTTTACCTGGTCACGGTAGCCAAGCAAAATGGTTCGCTCGCTCTCACTAGGAAACCCCCAGATCACAGCCAAGAATTCGGTCTTCATTGACACTATCAAATACCTTTAATTGTGAATAAAACATATAGTTTTCCGAGTTCAAATACATAATATACCTCAGCTGGTTTTTGATCACCGGATTTGTATATCATTTCGCTTTTCGAGTCCCCTGACAATATGGTAATTTTATCGATTCAGGTGACGTCTTTTAGCCAATCATGGTCCAGTGATTACGAAAGAGGCACGAGCCCTAAGCATCAAATCACGTGCTGCTCCTATTGTTGACATGTGCTTTCAAGAATCTTCCGCCGCAAGGAATTGTTTTAACAAATAAAATTCCGATTAATCTTTGTACCAAATAATGTATTTATTTTATTAAAAATGTTCTTAAAAGAGTTGGAACAAAGAAAWAAAACATTGGCCTTTTTTCGAGAATTTTTAAGACGAGCAACTGAAATGCTTTTCACACTCGAACAGCTGAAGCAAATTGCTTATAAACATCTTGACACTAGGATCAAACAAGTCACGCACAATTATCTTGCCTTCCAATTTATTTTTTTTCTTTTTCACCCCTCAGTTTTGGTTTAGTAATCTGGAACCTGGGATTGCTTCTAGATTATGAATTATAAGCCATGAGAAAGATAAAAGCAAATACTTGCGAACTTTAGGCAGTTATTTGCCCTAATCGTGGAGCAAGAATTGGAAAGAGAGATATATATATAGAGAGAGAGTGATAAAAATAAAGAAAGAAAAAGAGAGAGAGAGAGAGAGAGAGAGAGAGAGAGAGAGTTAGTTAGTAGTTAGTTAGAGCTAGTTAGAACTTAGTAAGCGGGCATCCTGTTTAATAGTTCTAGCGATGAAGACTGGGGCGGATTAAAAAGATTTACAAAATTTCTGTTGATCTTTGATTCAATAGCAAATGCAATCATCTGTAGACGTAAACTTCAGGAGTGAAGTTTATAACTCCGTAGACCGCAATAAAGAAACTTTTTGGTATAAATTCTCCGAATATTTCCCATCGGTTTTCTCTTCGTCTCCATCCAATAACGCGGGCGGGAGGGACGTCCTCTCAGAAACCCCAGCAACGACCGAATCGAAAGAGAAAACGACAACCTTTTCTACTGCCAAAGAAACACTTTCTAGCGTTTGACATTCAGGGATGCTCGAGTGATGGACGGATGATTTAGGAGCTGTTGCAGGGAAGCTGAAGCTACGACGCATGCTCAGAACCGGGGCACTCCGGCATAGCATGCCCTTATCTTGGGTAAGCATCTTTGCAGCATCTTTGTCGTCACGTGAGATATGTATGTCGTCATTGCTCTTTGTGACGTCATTCTCTTCGTTGATGATGTAGATCCTGTCAATAGCTTGATTTGATGCTTGTGGTGGGGCATCGATGTCTGTTTGCGTCCACTGGTCTTCTTGGTTTGCTTTAAGAAGGAAGGGAATAAAGAGAATTGGCTAAACAAATTACACATGCCGGCAGTGAACGTTCTTAGTCTGGCAGCAAGCCAAAGATTTTGTGAAAAAGGGCATCTCTCACTGTTTATCGCTGGGATATTGTAGATATATGAATGGTCTGTGTACTTGAAAATGGAAAATGGACCAGAGAAAAGAAAGGGAAACGGTAGGAAAAGACAAAGGAGACCAATTAGTAATGATATATACAGGATGGGGTTATGATAAAGAGATAGGACAGAGAGGTTGAAAGAGAGGGAGAGAAAAACGGGATTGAAAAACCGTGTTTGGGGGAGGGGAGGGTGGGAAATAATGGCATTACCGGGATGGAGGGACATGCGATGTCAAGAGACTCTTAAGAGGCAATGTCCACAAGAATCGAACAAATGGTGGCAAGGGTCAAAAAATCAAATTCGCTCTTCTTTTGAAGTTAGATAGGCCATTATTAGATATGAATCCCTGGGTAGTTGGTTTTCGAAAATATTATTTCATTTCCGAGAAAACGGCCACAGAAGAGGTTCGACCGAAACCCAAGCAAGAGACGCTCAAGAGGAGTGAAAATGGACAAACTTTGAACAGAGCTCGCGTAAAAAATAAACCATCTATGACAATTTTTGAACTTTCTTCTTAATTTATCACCCTTTTTCGTTCATTGGACTGGATTTCAAGCGTATTGGGAAAGGGACGAATTTTTGGCGAGGGAAAATAGGATGCCTATGTTTACATATGCTAATTAGTTGCCTCAAAAGAAAAAAAGATTTAACTATGGGCAAGTTCTCTGATTGAAATAATATTTATGCTGCAAGTTGAGGAAGAATAGATCTTTTCAAAACTTTAAAAATTGATTTGGGGAAATTAATTCTGACTGCATAGAAACCTGTTGAATTTGGTTGAAATACATGCGAAAATCACGCTTCTCGAATCAACGCAGGACTAAGGATTTTCGTAAAGATTGTCATGAAATTTACCCTGAAAACTAAGAAATTAATGTTTGTGCCGTTGTTTGAAAGTCCGGTGTGGTTTGGTAAATTAAAGCTCCATTGGAAAGGTTTTGGGATTGTCGGTACTGATGAGCAAAAACGCGATCTTTGGTGATTGCGTGACCGAGGTTCCACTTTACGTTTAGAAGTTTGATTACTGTAAAATTCACGCTAAAAATTACGATAGAAACGTTCTTTAAATAGCTTTATAATCTTGTTTTGAAATCCAGTCCAATGAACGAAAAAGGGTGATACATTAAGAAGAAAGTTCAAAAATAGTCATAGATGGTTTATTTTTTACGCGAGCTCTGTTCAAAGTTTGTCCATTTTCACTCCTCTTGAGCGTCTCTTGCTTGGGTTTCGGTCGAACCTCTTCTGTGGCCGTTTTCTCGRAAAYAAAATAATATTTTCGAAAACCAACTACCCAGGGATTCATATCTAATAATGGCCTATCTAGCTTTAAAAGAAGAGCGAATTTGATTTTTTGACCCTTGCCACGAATTCTTGAATTTGTTCGATTCTTGTGGACATTGCCTCTTAACTTCTTAAGAATCCTTACCCAAATCTTTACAAGAAATGAAGACGTTGGTTTTGGAAGTAAAAATAACGACGACAAGAGCAATGGCTGTAAACACAGAAGGTGTCAACGTAATCACTAAACGAGCGTAGTTACCACAAGTAGTACAGCCAATCCTGAAGAAAAGAAAATATAACTGACATATTTTCATGACTTCCTGTGATGTCAGTAGCCATCAAGACTGACATACTCGAACAGCGGATCCAGGATTTCACGGGTTCCCCCATTGAGAAGCCAATCATGTTCTTCACCCTTAGCAGAATGGAATTTATTAAAATCATGGTTTGTCCTCAAAATGCAGTAAATTTGCTGGACATTGAAAACCTGTTTTTGAAATCCTGGATCCGCCATTGTGGTTTATTTGTAAATATCTTCACGTATCATCAAGCTTACCCATCCGGGTAGTTTCTCTKTATAATCAGAATAAAAAGGCCGACCAAAATCTTATCAAAGAATCCCATGGTTGAGTAGATGAACCCACTGGATCTCTGGTGGGGGAAAAAGAAAAAAGATCTATTGTTCACGATATGGCAACCATTTTGTAAAATCCTAATTTTTGAGGATGGCGAAGGCGCATTTCTAAATCCAGCCATTTTTAGGAATCTGATGGAAAAATAAAAGGAGGAAGGTCTATTCTTCAGGACGGCAACCATTTTTTTTTAAAAAAGCTAAAAATCCAACGTTTGAGGATAGAAAAAGCGCATTTCTAAATCTAGTTATTTTAACGAAGCCAACCTTATCCTTCTTCGCCAGATCTGCCAGCATGGAAAGAGAAGTAGCCATCATGATAGAGCTGCTCGCTCCAAATAAGATTGAAGACAGAAAGACAAAGTTCTCTCCTGTCTTTGACTGCAGTTGAAACCAAACACAGGATTGGAAAACAACGACGGAGGCTGCGCAGAACGTCCACTGCAAGAGACAAAAGAATGACAAAGAATTTGTGGATACACATGGCCATTGTCACTTCCAAAAACGTTTAGCTTTTCTTTCTTGTTTTCCATATACAATGCTCTCAAGGATCTGTGACTCAAGCAAAGAAGAAAAGCACGTGCACTCTGGCTTAGACAGAACTGAATATTAAAATTCCACTTATTAGTGAATTCCTCTTAGAGTGCATACTATATATCCGTTAAAAAGTCAACTAACAAAATTTTACAAATTAGAGCAGAGTTTTGTAGGTCTACGCGATCTAATGAGGTCTACTGAACTGACTAATTTGTGCAATTACTCACAAAGATTTTCACGGATATATGGTATATGCACTCTTTATAACACATTGATAGCACTACTATCAGAACTGATCTTTTTCGTAGTTCCTTTTGTTGGGTTAGCTAACGCTATTATAATCTAGTTACTCTCAAAGGAGTTAAAACATTTAAATAAGAAAAAGAATTCGTAGAGGATTCTGGAAGTAGTGTTATCAATCGGAACGGAGAATAGGTTGTACCTTGTTTCCAAGCACTTTACGAATACTCGTCCCCAAAGTGTTGCCCACTACCTCAGTGATTAGCAAAGCCATGGGGAAGTAGGCAATCGCTTCCTAATTACACGACACAATAGAAAATGAATATGTCAATAAGCCCACACAAAGGAAAAAACAGGCCAGATTTAAAATGAAGTATCTTTCTTCTTTCATTCCACTTCCTTCTCTTATCTTACCACATTTGCTTCCCTTCCCTTCTCGTCTTTTTTTCTTTATACTTTATCATTGATTCACAATTCACTAATATCTTGAAACTTACCTTGGTAAAACCCAAAGAATCTGTGACGTAAAACACGATGTACAGCTGTAAGACTGTACTGACGACGCGTGAACATACGTATACCACAGCTACCTGCGAAAACAGCAGCAGTCAGTAATTTTATTCTTATAAATCAACAGCTCAAACAAAAAAACTCCACCGACAAAAACATTGTTTGAGTTTGAGTTCTCCTCACTGGTACAAGGTGTCTATATAGAGCGTTCTCACTCAATACCTAGAGTCCACTGACAATAGAGATGGAAGGCCATATTGGTGTATCTATTGACAAAATCATTGTCAAAGGTACACCAAAATGGCGGCTGTGACGTCATGTGAGATTGCTCTATAGCCCAAATCAAAAGGATCTATAAAACGCATCATATTTCTTTGCTTACCTTACACAAGTCRTAATCATTAAGCCACTGACGCCATGTACGGGATGGACCTTCGTCCTGATCATCACCACTCTCATTCTGAACACCGGACCCTTGCTCAGCCAGTTGACTTAGAGAGATGCTACTCTCAGTGTGTCTACGGAGCACACAGAGGTCCCTGGATGAGGCCTTTCGGGTTTTGGCTTTGATATCACCTGGTGTGCTTCTTTGAGTCCGACAGTTTCTGGTGTCAGGTTCGACGGTTCCCCAGTGGAAGAAAAAAGAGAACACCAGGCCAAGCCCAACCAAAGTTAAACTAAGGGTCTGAAAGGTCACAACGAACAATTATGAAGAAATGTTGAAACAATTGCATGACTGAGATGATTAAATCGGATACATTGTGTAAAGTAGCCTGAGTGGCGGCTCTTTATGTGTGGCGGAGAGGCCCTCTACAGACCCTCTCACAAGCAAAGGGCCGCTAGTCATGCTATGTTTAATCAACGAGTTAGAATGACGTACTGTGAATTGCTGCTTAAGGTCTGATGTAACCTTCTCTCCATCTGCTTGACCAAGAAGAATCCACGTGATACTGAATATAATCATCCCAAAGATGAACGACAGCCATGACCTGACAACGATAAAAGATTTTTTTTTGTCTCAGCATTCAATCAACCATTACAATAGTTTCCGGATAGCACGATATTTACAGGAACTTTTGGCAGCAGTCTGGAGTCCGGGGAAGAAATACACATGCGCAGTTTTCACTTTGTTACAAAATTAGTCTCAAGCTTGTCACTTTTTAAAACCACAAAGATTCGTTGATCACGAAAATAAAAACTAAATCAAAAATAACCCCACCCCCCCCCCCCCCCCCCCCCCCCCAAAGCACAAATAATCACACAGACCAAGTCAAAATCCATCATAGATTTTTTGATATTTTAAAGTTTATTCACCTGATAGCATTCAACTCTGCTTCATCGTTCGGTTGAACAATATCCGGCATCAACGATAGATGTGAAATACGTACGATAGACCATCCCACATGGAGTAACACAACAACAGCAGAATAATAACCAAGCTTAGCTGATGGTGAAATGCTATCACTACACACTAAGCAAGAACTGAAGRTTAACGGCCATGTCAGAAACACCAGTACTGTACCAAACAAGTGCCACAGCTTTCTCCTGCCATAACTTGGAAATACCTTGGGGCAAATCCGCACCATCCCAACCTCGATAAATGGCGTTAAAAAAGCATCTGAGCACTGCGCGATCATAAAAAGATAACCAACAATAGGCGGTGAGAGACCAACGACTTTGTTGAAGTAAATGAGGATGTAGCTTGACCAGACAATATAGCACAAATCGCTGAAGACATGACCTAAACTGAAGTATAATCGACGTTTAAAAGGTAACGACACGACACCTGCACGATATCTGGGATCATTATGCTTGACGTCTTTCCAGAGCTTCTCAGCTATGGACACCCATTCCATCTTGATGCCAAGTCGAGCTTCGTATGGCTAGTGCAGACTCCAAACTTTTCTGATCAAGATTTCGAGGTCTGTTGGACCCAATTTCTAATAGGATATGAATATAAATTGTGCACACTGTACTTGTGATTAAATGCTCTTACAGCATTAGGAAATAGCTCTTGATTAAATATCTACACCACGATAAGATACGAGTACTAGTTAAATTTTTGTATGAAGGAATATTGATTCCAAAGGCAAGTTTGGAGTTAAACGTCTCAGCAAATAAAGAAAAAAGCTCCTTAATTATTTTCCATATTTTCCTTCAGTCGAGACAATAGAGGTTCCCTAAATCTTCTCATTAAAATCGAATCTGTATTAAATATAAGCACAGCATTTAATAATAAATCACTTTTAAATTCATGGTTGGTTGGAAGAGAGATGTTTTGGAATTGAAGGCTTGTTAATGAACCACATTTTATACCGAAAATCTGCCGCCTGCATAGAACGACATTAGACAACAACCACAATTGGTTTGAGAGATTAAAACTGCACAAATACAAGATCAAACCCATTAATTATACAAGAACATTTAGTACTATTTACTGATATGTGACAAGGAAACTATTTTTATTAACGATATCTTGGAAATTGAATTCCAGTTTAATTATTTTTAACTTGTAATAATTCTGCAAGGTTGGAATTCATTTCAATTATTTTTAACTTTTAAAACGTACGACATAATAATTTAATCCTCAAAATATAAATGCAAAGAATGTAAACTTTGTAGAAGGAAACCACAATATTGAAGTAAGCGGTTTTTATAATTCAGTTGTAATTCTGAAGTGTTCTAGATATATATTTATCTCTAATATATATTAACTCTCAAAACTATCTCATAAATGCTTTTTTTYCATGTCCGTTTTGTTAGAAAATCCAGCAGAGCAAATTTATCAGGGTCCTTCTACATAGCATCCTTTGAGCCAAATCTCCTGTATGAACAAAGTTTACTTACTAATTAATTTACAAAATACAAAATATTTCATTTTTCTATTCTTTTTTCCATACGGGGAAAAGGAAAAAAGCTATTGATAATCATATATTTTGTTTGTTTAGTGCAATATGGCCAAGTCCAATCGGCATTCATCCCAGAATCTGTGGTGAATGTAAAAATGGATTAACCTAAAAGTATCTGTCAATAGTTTTTTTWAATACTTCTTACGATCAAACAGCGACAGCTTAGGGCACAAAGGCGCCAAATGCCATAACAATACCAATCATTATGGTTCGAAATACAAGAGTTGGGTGGCGATAAATTAGGCTGGCTTTTTTCCATTTTGCCACAATTGCTGGCTTTCCCTACACTTCATTTCCTGTCTCGTGTGGAATGTTCATCAGCTGAATCGCAAGTTTTCAATAGAATTCTTTCTAGCTGACAGCAGATGATGGTCAGTGTTTGACCACCATTTGCAGCAGGTAATGAGATTCAAAAACGTTTCTCAGCTGAGTGAAAGCCAGCAATAACAATGAATATAATTGTGAGTCAAGGTCAAGTTTGCAAAATATAGCATTGCTTCGCTGGTAAAGAAATCATTTACTACAATTACTCGGGGGAAAAACACACTTTTGATATTGTCTTTTTTTCTTTCAATTTAACGGGCTACAAAATTATCACGTAAGGCAATATTCGTGCAAACATTACTGTACCGGATCAAAAAAGAATTGCTGGATTCAATACTAGTCAAATTTAAGCTTCCAGTAAACGTTTTACCACAATGAATATTTAATTTGACCACAAGTAAGTAACGGAACTTCAAACAATCCTAAATTTATAAAATTGATTAAAATATTGTGCTAAATTCCGTTAAAATGAAAAGTAGAGGAAAGACTGATATTGGTTAGAAATAAAAAAAGGAACCAAATTCATTACCAAACACAATTAAATTGGCGGAGAATAAAATATTTTCATGGAATTTCATAGGTCCAAGTTTAAATTTCTTGAGGTTAGCCAATTAAAAATATTTTGGCTTCAAACTCCAAATCCAAGTCATTTACAGATCACACAAAAATGGAGAAATTCGAAGAGGAAAATATTGGAAACGTTCAGAAAACAATCAGAAAAGTATCAAAAATATGACTCGAGTTATAAAATTGTTGAAAGATGTTGCATTTCTCATCGATCAACCGCAGATACTATTCTACATCCCAGTCATGTAATATAATGATCTTAATGTGTTATCTAAACTGTAATTACTTCAAGTCTATCTGGGTTCCCTGTGGGGTGTCTTTAGGGTACAAAATTAGTAACATCCGACCCTACCACCCCCGAAAATGTTCTAAATGACAATATTGTATTTAGGGACCGTTCATTTTTCATGGACTTGGAGGGGCCCCCTGTTAAACAGGATAATTTTCAAAATCAACTTTCTATTTAGTTAATTACTTTTGGGGTGCCCCCCCCCCCTCCCCTCGTCAAATGCCATATATTTCTCATGTGGCCCTCCCTAAATCCCATCCACCACCACCCCCTCCCCCCCAAATGCCCTTAAAAAAAGAACCGTCCTTTATATCGGGGGTAACACACAACAGGCAGAACGAAGCCTGGGAGTGGATGAACAAACAATGAATGGTGAGATAAAACAAAGAACGCAGCTCACATGTGGAACAATACACATTGTTCACCATAATCCATGCTTTCTTTGTTTTGTTATTTTGCCCAATCTCAAGCTTCGTTCTGCCAGTGGACACCGACCCTTTATATCCGACCACGTATCATTTCCTTGAAAATAACAGTTTTAATTGTTATATAAATTTAAATGGAAGCCAAAAAATGAAACTCATTCATGAATTAGGTATCTCCATGCCCAAACTAAAAGTCTATTATCTAGGAAGCTAACGAGTTTCATTAAAACTCAGTGTAAATATCAACGTCTTTATAATAATGGCAGTTGCTATGGCAACAGTGACGTAGCATTTTGGGGGGGGGGGTCTACCGGTCCATACTGGGTGTGGCTTATTGCATATCATTTCTCTTCTGGTAGAATGTAAGTAACTGGTTGGCCATGTTGGCTAACTTTATCTCGTTCTTCATCATCTCCATTTGAAGTTCAAGGTCAAGCTAAAACATAATGGTAAAGGTATCAGGTAAAAGGGAAGAGCTGGTGTGTCCTATTTAGGGAACACTGGGGATTTAAGAGATGCCCAGAAAAAAGCGTTTTTCCAAATATGCTAAACCTACCACCCAAAATTTCAAATCGATCTTTGAGTTCAGAGTTAACCGTGCCCTGACTTTGATCAGCACCGAGTTGAGTTAGACGTTCCCTGACTTAGATCAGCACAGAGGTTGTTAGGGTTCGATTTGTGAGTTAGATGTGCCCTGACTTATATCAGCCCCGCGGTTGTTTAGGGTTCGATCTGTGAGTTAGCCGTGCCCTGACTTAGATCAGCACCGAGGTTGTTTAGGGTTCGATCTGTGAGGGAGCCGTGCCCTGACTTAGATCAGCATCGAGGTTGTTTAGGGTTCGATCTGTGAGGGAGCCGTGCCCCGACTTAGATCAGCGCAAAGGTTGTTTCAGGGTATTGATAAAACGTGAAGGTATCTAATAATTGTCTATTGAAAATGAAAATGTACCAATAAAGCAATGTATTTTTACCTCTTTCTGTAAGTTGGTATCAAAAGCTGCAGACAGTTTTTCTCTCTCGTATAGTAACTCGTGTTCAGCATTCCTGTGACAGAAACATCAAGATTTAGACCATATATCCATTACATTCACGCTCACATTGTCTTCCCCAGAAAATTAATTTTTTACTCTTGTCTTCACTAGCCCTGGTCAAAAAAGCATAGTTACACAGACTCAACAGGTGTGAGGAAGCACAACTGCTGTTAATGAGCAATGCACGACTGAGTCTACAACATAAGTATGAGCAGCAGCAGCAACATACACAGACTCAGTGCAGCTCTTTAATACAATACAATACAATACATCTTTATTCACATTTCCTTTTATGTTAAATAGTCCAGTTTCGAGTTCCAAATTACTGCTGTGTTTCTTGATTACAAACTCATTTACTCAGGCTAAGCCTCGAATCGGTGTCTAATTACTCACAAATACCAACGGTAAAGTAAAGAATGCACAAGTTCAACAATACGAACACTTTGAAACTTGACGGACCTTGACTGGAACACGTGAATATTCTGCACAAACTCGAGGCTAAGCCTGAGTAAATGAGTCTGTAATCAAGAAACACAGCGGTAATTTGGAACTCGAAAAGGGTCTATTACATTAAATTATATATTTAGATCATTGAAAAGAAAGAAAATGCTTATTTTGTCAAATAAATAAAGCTAAATATTAGTTGTAATGAATGGAAGTGCCTAGAGCCTAAATAAACCATATAGATTCCTAGTTAGACCCTAGTCTAGCTCAGGTGCAGGAAAGACAACTGGTGTTAATGAGCAATGACGACCGAGCCTACAACACAAGTATAAGCATCAGTAATATTTTTGCACAGACTCAACAGGTGTGAGGAAAGACAACTGCTGAGCAATGCACAACTTCCTTTGCCTATGAAGCATATTTCTGCTCGTACTGCAAGTGTTAAGGCGCAAACACACGTTGCAACATTGCGCGCAACATTGCTTAAGTAGGATCATTCTCTACTTCAGCAACATTGCATGCAACAAACTGCGTCGTGTGGCAGGGCTCGCAACATTGATTGCCTGTAACATTGCGCGCAATGTTAGCTTTAGTCATACGGACCTGGCTACTGCAACCTCCATTTCACGCTGGTATTCAACTTCGTAAATGTGGATCGACTCCTCTAGGTTTAACCTGTTTGATAAAAAACAAAGCTGTAAATTTACAGTTAATTTTAAGTTTTATGATCAGTAGAATACCCCTCATGGTTTGCCATCTCATCGGTAAAAATGACCGTAAATCATTAAAGGGTATGCTATAGATATTTTCACATCAATTGCTGGGTTTCAATGAACTTATAAAAGTCTTTTTAAAAATCTCATTATCTGCTCCAAATGGTGGTCGAACATTGACTACCATGTGCTGTCARCCAGAAAGAATTCTGTTGGAAACTTGTGATTCAGCTGATGGACATTCTGCACAACAGACGGAAAATGATATCAAGTGAAACCCAGCAATACTTGCAATATTGTGCTTCTTACATCTCTTTGTCCGGGTACATTCCACTTGTGTTCTTGTCTTTATAGTGTTCTGGTAGCGCGGAGTGAAGGCGTTCGTTCTCCTTTATAATTTCCCCAAGCTTCAACTAAAAACAAATCCAGAGCACTTTACAACGTTGTCTATTTAACAATTTTACAATAACTTACAAATTTCTCGCGCGCTGATTGGTTATTTTTTATCATCGATAAGAGGACAGACAGATAAAGCTGACAAAGCTGATAAAGCATAAAAATCTGATGTCAATTTGTTTTTTACAATAACAAAAACGATAAAAAATTCTCATTTTTAGCGAGCAAAACAACCAACGGAAAGAGCACGCGCTCGTTGACGTCAGCTTTATCTGTCTGTCCTCTTATTGATGATAAAAAAAAACCAATCAGCGCGCGAGAAATTTGTAAGTTATTGTAAAAAAAAAATTATTATCATCACAAAGGAAAAATACCCCTTAAAAATTTTCTCTATAAATAATTCAATACGTAATAATATGTATCAAAAGCGTAGGACGTTAATCCAAAGGAATCTAATAGAAACTACGGGTGTTGTAGCGGTGAGAGTGCTCGCCCCTCACCAGTGCGACCAGGGTTTTATTTTTGGATTCGCTATCATATACACTTATTTCAATAAAGTTAGTCGCCTGAAAAGCTACAAAGCTGAGACCAACAAGGATTATGGGTAGTTACAGTTTACATGTTTCAACCGCTTTGATAACTGTTGATGGATTTTAGATCTTTTACCAGTTACAGTCTCACCTCTTCTGGGCATCCTCAAGCTGCAAATTGTATCAAAAGATTTACTTGTTTGATATTAAAAGTTTCCCATGATCCTTAGTGATCTCAGCTTTCTAGGTTTTTTGGTGACTAACTTTATTGAAATAAGTGTATATGTGCAACGGCGGATCCAGCCAACATTTTAGGGGGGGCTAATTGAGTTTAGGGGGGCTAATTGAGTTTCTTCCGTCAACACAACGGAAAACAATAAAAAAAGCATCTAATTCTTCAGTTTTGTTTTTTGTTTTTTGTTTTCTGCTGAAGGGGGGCTCAGCCCCTCAGCCCGCCCTTTGCCCCCCTGGATCCGCCCTTGATGTGAGTAGAGTTTCTAGTTGGTTATCTCCTATGCTGCGAGGTTCCTTCCGTAAAAATCAACTAAATTCCAATTTGATAACGGATCGAGGGGCAAAGGTTTGTTAGCCATTGGCCATTAAGTGCTACCCTTGTAAAACAACGATTTAAATGAAACACAGACGTACCTGAAGGTCATGCACAGAACGTTGCTTAAATGAAAGGTGTTCTTGTTGCAATGGCAGTTGTTCCTGTTGATATTTTGGTTGGTATTGCTCCAGATCTGGTGTCCGTTGTGGAGAAATTCCTTCCATATCTTTCCTGTCTTCATCTTTCTCTTCGTTCAAAGAATCTGTTTCGCAGAGCTTATGTCCATTTGATTCGTGTGTCTGTACTAGCATTCTGGTATCATCCCCTCGTTCTTCATCCAAGGAAGAAAAACTAACCTCCCTTCCTTTCAATTCCGTGTTTTCTCCATTATGTGAATGCTGCCTTCTTCGTGTGGAATCCTGGGTGATCTCTGTAGAAGTCATAACATTATCTGGAGCTAAGTGTTGTGTATCTTTAGGATCTCTTCCAGATCCATCGTCTATATGAGATATTTGCTCTTGGAAAGAAAGACCGTGGCCACTATTACCATTAGTAGCTTTTATGTTTTCCTTCACTGTGCTACTGGATGTTTGTCTTTGGGAATTGAAGCTACTTATAATTGGTGAGTCGTTATCTTTTGAACTTGAAGGCGTGTGTGCTTTGAGTTGTGCTTCCATCGCAGCGTAAGTCCTGCTCATAAGAGAAACCCTGTTGGCAACTGGTGATCTTTCACTTTGACCTATGGGACTTGTCTCATGGTTTCTCATCTCTTCATTTGTACCATCACTGTTAATCAACGCTTCTCCAGTCCTGCTCTCACGAGATACCTGGTTGGTAAGTGGCGATCTTTCACTGTGACCTATAGGACTTGTCTTAAGATTTCTAATCCCTTCATTGGTACCATCACTGTTAATCAACAGTTCTTCAGTCCTGCTCTCACGAGATACCTGGTTGGTAAGTGGTGATCTTTCACTGTGACCTATGGGACTTGTCTCATGGTTTCTCATCTCTTCATTGATACCATCACTGTTAATCAACGCTTCTGCAGTCCTGCTTACACAAGAAACCTGGTTGGCAATTGGTAATCTTTCACTGTGAACTATGGGACTTGGTTCGCTTCTAAACCACCCTTCTTGATGGCTGCCATTAACATTGATCAAATCTTCTCCAGTTCTGCTTACAGGAGATACCTGTTTGGCAACTGGTGATTTTCTACTTTGAACTATGGGACTTGTCTCCTGACTTCTACACCGTACATCCTGACAAGGAATGTCTCTCATCTTAGATAACACATAAGGGTCAAGTGAAGAACTATTGGTATCGTGGTTTTGCCTCTCAGATATTTTTAATTCTTGCAAACGAAGATCATCCCCAGATAAGGTAGACTTAGTTAAAGGCAATGCGCTACTGGAATGGGTGTCAGCCTTCCAAGTTTCAACCGGAAAGATAGCACTTTTGATATGCATAGATTGTTCTGACTGTGATTCAGGGAAGCCATTATCCAAACCTATGGACTCTGGAACAAAGGCAACGGAAGTGTCTACTGGTTTTACAAACGAGTGCTCGCCATTCATAGGCGGTGACCTTACGCTTCGAGTACTTTTCGGTGTTTCCAGTGAGTTTTGCCACGTGTCCTGTCGCATATCCAAGCCCTTGGATTTTGGGAGAAAGGTAATGGAATTGTCTACTGGTTTCGCATAGTGCTCACTATTTATAGGCGAGTGATTATTGCCATTCATAGGCGGTGACCCTGGACTTTGAGTGAAGCCATTATCCAAACCTATGGGCCCTGGAACAAAGGCAACAGAAGTGTCCACTGGTTTTACAAACGAGTGCTCACTATTTATAGGCGAGTGATTAACACCATTCATAGGTGGTGACTCTAAACTTTGAGTGTTCTTGGATGCTTCCAGTGAGTCTTGCCGCATATCTTCTAATGTTATGGTACAAACAGGTCCCTCGTCCGCAGTGGGTCTGGTGGTAGTCTCACCTGGGAATTCTTTCATAACCTTCTTTAGGATTTCTTCTAGTTTGTCGAGAAATGATGGGCCGTTACTCTCTAAACCAAAAAAGGGCACATGAGATGTGACTTACTTAAGGGGGGACAAAAAAAGAGATCATATATGGTGGTAGGGACCTCTGGGGTCTCAGATTCGATTTCAAATGTAATAAAGAGTTTTATAGCTTTTTGTCTGGCTTCGAGGGTTTTTCTCCGAGTTCTCCAGTTTTCTTCCCTCGACAAAGCCTAACGAACTAAATTCCAATTCGATGATGCTTCAAGGTCATACAAAAATCCCTGCCGTGTTTAAAGCGTAGCCTGTGTACGACCGCTCCCCGATGGAAGAGGGGTGAGAAGCGGAGTGTATTAATGGTTAGTGTACAAATTACTTACCTTCACTATCTTTACAGCCCGCACTTACAACACTGGCCTGGTCTGACTTGAGCTTTGCAAGTGATTGAAGAAGTTTCGACTGGATGAAATCCTCTTGGTTGTCAGGCACCGAACGACGACGAACACTTGGATATTCCTTTCTGAGAAGCCTGTCATTAGCTGAGGCAGGAGAAACGTATAACATTTTAGTACTAGATGGTTTTCATTTATTCAATGATTTTCACCACCATTGTATATATCAGAAAATCTCCTACATTGCATTGCTAAAAGTCACCTTTCTGAATAGACCCTTTTCGAGTTCCAAATTACCGCTGTGTTTCTTGATTACAGACTCATTTGCTCAGGCTAAGCCTCGAATCAGTGTCTAATTACTCGCAAATACCAACGGTAAAGTAAAGAATGCACAAGTTTAACAATACGAACACTTTGAAACTTGACGGACCTTGACTGGAACACGTGAATATTCTGCACAAAATCGAGGCTTAGCCTGAGCAAATGAGTCTGTAATCAAGAAACACAGCGGTAATTTGGAACTCGAAAAGGGTCTATTCAAAAGCGACTAATAAAGACTAATGACCGGCTACAAGGCGCACAGGATTGTGGGGGTGAAATTGGTTTCGTTCTTTCGCGGTAACGAAGATTACGAGAAGCACTGGAACGAGAGAGCCTCTGGAGCTCAATATAAATTAGAATGGGTGCTCTTGACGAAACTTACCATCACAGATAACCTCTTTTTCTTCTTTGACGTTGAGATTTTCGCGTGTTTCGGCCGAAATTTCCACCAAAACATGTCTGTTGCCGAGGATACGTCCATTCATACAAGAAACAGCTTTACGTGCTTCTGCTAGAGTTGCAAACCGCAAAAACCTTTGAAATGAAGAGAAAGCATTGCTTAGATAAAAAATAAATAAACGAATGAATAGATGAAAGAAAGGAAGGGAGGAAGGAAGGAAGGGAAGCATGGATGGATGCAGATAAGATGTCAGTCTGATAGCACAGATAATTATTGTATTCAGAAAGATTAAAACGAGAAAAATTCCAAAGGGAATCAAAGGCCGATGCGTTAGATTTTCGCGAGGATACAAACAACTAAAACCAAGAACTTTTCAATAGCATGGAATATTAGGGAAATCGAAACTAACACAAATAGATTTTGGAAACGAAATAAAAAATCTAATGATGAGAGAGAGTAAAAATGAATAAAATGGGCAACACCGATAACGATAAGTATTATTTTTAGGGCGATCTTTAACTTATAATTTTAATAAGAGTAAGATTTGCAGATTTATCGAATTTCCAAATGATAATTTTTTTTCTTCTCAAAATTGTGAAAAAAAAATATTTAAAAACCAAATTATTGAAGTTTATGACAGAATTTAGGTCAAAGAGTAAATATTTAGTTGTTAATGATGTTAATGAAGTATCGACAACGAGTCACTACGAGCTATGTGTGTATAGCCCCGTTTACACTGGCGATTTTTGCGGCGATTTTTGTGGCAATTTTCGAAAATATGAAATCTTTTGTCTCATCTTTCAAAAGAGACATTCGTCGAGGAAAATCTTGGTATCCTGAAAAAAACTTTACAATTAAATTCTTTACCGTTATTTATTATGGATAAAATCGCAAAAAAATCGCAGCGAAAATCGCTAGTGTAAACGGGGCTTATAAAACGATTGCAAGCGTGACAGTCACGAACCCGCAAGGAATTTTCATTAAGTTCAATTTTTTTTTTTCACTTTTCCTTACACAACGATTTCCTCGGAACATTAAAAGAAGCCACATTAAAATAAGCAGCTAGGATATATAAAAAAATGGTGTTTTTTTGGAATATTTCAAATCATTTTTCTAAAATATCTTATCGATTTTGACGACTTATATACTAATTTTAACCACTTTTTAACTCGATCTTTTATTCGAGGAGCAAAAATATTCTTTATATCAAGAATCAATTTAAAGACTGAATTTAATCTATTAGTTTAAGACAAGATTATTTTTATTATTTTATATTTTACGTAGAAAATATAACACGCACTGTAATGGTCACGAACTCCACACTTCCGCTTCGTGTCAGTCACGTGAACGGGTGACTGACCGCGTGACGTGTACCTAGCGCGGCCACTCAGTCCCGAGCCACGCAGCCAACACGGGAGTCCATTCGTGTTGTATGCTTACCTCGCTTCGCCTCTCGCAAAAATATAGAGCTGGAAGAGTTTGTTAGGCCGATTATAACAGTCGGGTCAAAGTATTGAGAATTTTTTCCACATTTCATGGACAGAAAGTCTTTAATGGATCTCTCGGAAAACCCGACTCCTGAACGCTTCGCCGCCATCTTGGAGAACCAGCGTGCAATTATGGTGAATCAGTCAACCATACTTCACAACCAAAACAAGATCTTGAGAGGCCTAGAGCAGCTCTTTACGCTTATTCCTAACTCACAGAATACTCTTACGAACCAGCCGACAGCGTGCACTCAGAGTCTACCTGTCACTCCCGTGGTGAGCGTGCATGGTGTTCTACCGACAGTGGTCGAGCCAACGCGAGTGGATCAGCCAGCGCTCACACAAATCACAGTCGTACCAGCGATGCCATTGACGATTCCAACGACAACTACACGCGCCGATCATCAACAACAACAGCAACAACAACACCAACCAACAACCTCCCCAGCTCACACCTCAATCCAACCTATTCCACAAACGAGTTTCGCCAACTCTTCGATGGTGACTGTTCATCCCGTTCCAGTTCCCGCAGTCCCGATGACATCTTCTCCAGACAGTTCAGACGACGAACGAGTCCCGCAGTACACGTCACGGTCCGATCTCATGCAGATCAAGTGTAAAAGTTGTTCCATTGGGAATTTCTCCGTCCAGCTACTTCGGCATATCTTCCAACCAGACGAGCTAGCCRACCGGAATTGTTCTGGCACCCGTGGTAAAGAACAAGTCGATCCGTCAAGGTTAAAATTCATCAARGAAACCGTGTTCGACTTGTATAACATTAGCGCTGACGAGAGACTCAACACATGGCGGCACTGTGTTCGTGCTATGGATGAATTCCTACGCCGTCCAAAAAATAACCGAAAATACAAAGACATTGGCCCTCCAACCTTAGTAGGGCTTAACCAAAAACTAAACGTGAGTTTTTAAAATTAAACCCAATTTACCTTTCACCTTTGATTGATGAAGGTGGGCGTTTAGAATGTCGTGTTTACAGATTTGTAGTTTCTTTAGACTTTATAGACGATAAAATAAATTACTACGCTAAAAACATTTACTTTCTTTTTCGCTTTTCATTAATCATATGAACTGGAAAAAAATAAAGATTCAATTTTCGTTGCACTACACAGTTTCTGTCATAACGTTATCTTGTTATTATAGGCCATAACATTTTCCAAAGTTAAATAAAGTTTAAGGGGGAAAATGACATTTATTTTCAAAGGACATTTCGATAGAGATTTTTTTTACAATATGAAATGACTTTTATTTTGTTTTATTTAATCAAGAAAATAAAAATTAATTGTTACCGTAAATATAAAAATGATGTGTTACAGTAAATGTAAACAAATGTAAACTATGCATTTTTAGTGTTTATTTGTGATTCTTAAAAGTCATAGTTTAAATTAAGTTTGAAACTAAAATAATTACACTAAAATATCTGACAAATATATATATATGCTTAGACTTAAATCTGCAATTATATTCTTTAATTTTTTCAACCCCTTAAACTGGATTATGTCAATACTAGTAAAAGATTCTCATCTTAATGTTCCCAGATAAGAGAACATTATTATTAGTTTAAAGATCTGGAATTTATCATGTTTGATCTTAATTTAATTTAGCTGACATACCATCTAATATTTTTCTGGGAAGCCATTTTACTGTTAGGTCTAGTGATACAGATTGAAATTGATTGAAAAGCCAATTGATTGAAAAGACAGTTGAGTGATGTTTGCATAAAAGCTAGACCACATTTCATCTTCTTTGTCAAACCTTGAAATTTAATCAATATAATTGAAACAACCTCCTCTGGATGGATTAAATTCAGCTCATGACTAACTTGCAGATTGAATTTGAATTTAACTTGTTAGCTGAAATCAGATGAAGCTTATGACATCTTGTTATTCTCATGTGGTCAAATTTGGTGCATGATTCCTAGCAGAATGTTTCCCAGATATACAAAACCTATATGGCATATAATGGACATAGTTCTTACCCATAAGTGTAACTTCTGTTGCCTTCAGGTGGAGTTATAAACACATCTTTTGGAACACCCACTTCACTAAAAAACTGGACAAGTTCCCTCTGAAATAAATTATATTCACAACATTAACCTTAAAGAGTATCATATCAACATTTCATAATAGCAATATAAATAAAAGACTGTAGAGAGATTAAAAGGATATAACATAATATTTATGTAAAAGGCTAATGATTTCTTGAAATAAATAGTACAACAGGATCAGATTAAGCAAGTACTATTCAGGTCATGGACAAGCTTTAATATTTAGAATCATCAAACCTTGTTTCACTACATCACTATTTTTGTGTTTTAGACATGAAATAGAACTAGTTTATGAGTTAAATAAAGTTGAATATTTACGAAGTTTACAAAAAATATATATATTTCTTTTCTTTTAAATTTAATAAAAATGTTCAAAAGTAAGAAGTATTTCTGTCGTTTGTTAGAACTGTATAATAAATTATGGAGAAATGTGAAGTCTGATGGGAAGAAATTGTGGAATACAGTACTACTGAATAAACTACTGCGGCTTTTCTCAATTCTGATTAGCTGTATTTTCAATGGTGTGAGAGAAAAACTTTTATTAAACAAACTTACCAATGTTAYGTCAGATGGCAGTCTACCTACATACACAGAAAAAAGGCTTTTTCTCCACCTGTGTAGCTCCCTTGGACTTAATGATCTTTCTTTCTCATGACATTCTAAATGTAAATCTATTTAAGAGAAAGAAAGAGCAACTTTCTAAAAAAAAAATAACATGAAAGGGTGTGAGCATAAAATACAACTCAAAATTATGCTTTTCGACATATAAATTTGCACCAATTATTAATCTACATGTACATGTACGAGTCAAACAACAGTCTTCTCATAGTCTAAAATGTTTCTGATGCTTCATGCTATTTCTTAAAAATATGTACGCTGTGGTTGCGATTTGGAATTTGATTTTTCACTGCTGATGGTTAAAAATATGAAAGGTAACGACTGATTAACTTTGATTGATGACAGTGAAGAAACAAGTGTCAACATGCAGCTTGCAGCAACAAAGTTCACATGTTTATGAAGCATTAAAAAAAATGGTTGTTTCGTGGTGTTGTAAGGTAACCTTTGCAAGGCACCTGAAGCATTAAGACAATAAAACAATAGCCGATGATAATGAATTTGGAACTAAACAATACCCTGAAAAACAGAAAACAATAAAGCTTGCACACCAAAAAAGACCCTAAAAAACACTTTCTAAGTTACTGTGTGCTCTGATAGGTAGAACAAGTTTGAAAAACCATGTTTATATCCAAAGATAATTTAATGAAGTTGACCTTCAGCATAATATTATAGTATAGTCAGGATTTCAAAAGATTTCAATCCTTAAATGAGGGGAATTCTTTTCCTATGATCCCAGATTGGGAATAAGTGCAATGGGTCTATTCTAAAAGTATCAAAAATGACAACAGAAAATGACTGCAAGGTACAACTAAAATGACTCGAGCATACCCCCCTAGGTCCATTAATAGTTTCATTACTTGAATAAAGAATTAATTATTCCTAATGAGAATAGGTAAAATAAAACAAAGACTCACAATTAAAAACAGCAACCAATTCAAAACTCAAATTCGGGGTGGATCATTACATACAAGGAACACCATAATCCAATAAATTCAATAGTAACCTTGAGCCATTTTGACTGTAATATTTTTGTGTGCCATTTTTCTCTCTCCATCACATTAATTATGGTCCCAAATACAACATACCATCTCTTTCCTCTTGGTAAACTTGAACTGGAGATCTGTTACCTTGAGGAGCCACCTAGAATGAGAAAACTCCTATCAAACACCATGCTTTATAAATGACATGTGGGCCATGGGTCTATTTTTTGATTCTAGATTAATTGTTTACAGGTTAGTGCATTATTGAAAAGTAAGGTGGGAATAAATGTACATTTAAGGTTGGTTTTTGCTTGTGTGGGAATCAAAGCTTGATATTAGTAGAATTGGGAAGTAGAAGCCTTGACTTGATGGATATGTGCTTTTCTAACATTGAAGAGAGCCTAGAGAAATGTATTGTGATCTACGACATAAGCTGCTTATGACTCAGATTCTGACACAAGTGAAAACCAACATTTACTTTAGTATTTTGTTTTTGATGAGAAGCCCTAGGGTTCAGCCCTAGGGGTATAGTGTCTTGTATCATTTGATACTTTCTCTACACCAACCTGGTTTGTCCCTCTTAAAAGGTCTAAAAGAGCCTTAGAAATATCATTGGTGTACGCCATTGGTTAAAGCGCTGAATGTAGTTTCAAAAATCCACAAGTAGTCTGCAAATAATACAGAAAAAATGTAAAGAAACTATGGTAGAGAACAAAGACAGAATTGGGACAGTACTATTGAGTTTCAAATGGGTTATCAATGAGATATGATCCAATACTTCAAAACCCTTTATCTTCAATTTTATCTTTACTCTGAAACTACCTCCAGACTGATCAAAGTCAGGTCCTATATGGCTATCTTGAAGATCAAAGGCGAGTTACATACAGCACCCTAATTTAAGATTTTCCATACATATAGTGGTTACTCCCTGTTCATCCAGCAATCATTCCTCCCTCCTGTATTTCCTAAAGGTATATTTTATTTGCCAAATAAAAACTGATTATTGTAGAATCCTAGTTATAAGCCCTGGACTTATACAATAAATTTGCAAGGGGTGATGTGTGGACTCATTATTCATAGTTCTGACTCCCCTTGGTTACTGTTGCTATGTCCAACAAGCTCAACAAATTAGCTACAAGTTAGCTATTAGTCTCAAAATTTAAAACTCTGATCACATAAAATAAATCATAAATTGCCTCAATTGTTTCATGTCCTTAGAAAAGAAATGAAAATTGCCTTGTAATCCTTCATTTTTATGCATCACACTGTCACTTACTTTATCCCAAATCACACATCACATGTAATTCCTGAAGAAATATTTTTGATAAACTGTACTTAYAGATTATTGGCAAGATTATTGGCATTGCAAAAATACAAATACCACTGTTACCATAGATACCATGGATACTGCCAAAAGAATAAGACAGAACTTCCTAATATTTCATCAAATAAATGAAACCTTAGACTGGAAAACCAAAAATTTCTCTTGTAGGGGGGAGGGGAGGGGTAGGGACTAGAGATGGAGGATTTCCTTCTTACTAGAGGATTTTTATCTCATCTGATCATGACATCCATCAAACTAGACTTTATCATCTTATAGTCCTATTCTCTAAATCCCTGCATGTAAAACTAATTTGCCATTCAAATTTATAAGAAAACCAGAAGAAGTTTGGTGATCATACTTTGTTCAAGCTCAATTTTACATGAGAAAAGATTTTAAAATTTGAGCTGAAATGGAGCCCTACAGTCTTAATGGTGAATCACAGTAATTTAATGAATCATTTCACGAGTTACAGAATTATTTAGGAATCCATGAAGCTGTGTTGGTCATCTACTCCCGGTCGTCCCTCTCTTCTCAAGCGGACAAAATACTACTTCATCACCGATCCCCTTGGATTTTGACTTTACCGCCAGACTGGCGCGTTTGACATCCCATTCAGGACAGAACTAGATCGCTTGACACAAGAACCATTCACGCTATAAAGGCTTTGACATTTTGAGCTAAAAACGAGAACCATGATGAACTACAATTCCTTAGAGAGAGCTTAAAGACCTTCTGGACATTAAACGGAGTTAAATTCTGCCGATTATGAGGTAACTTTTGAATAATTTAGCGTGGAACGAATGACTTGACAGAAGACTCACCTCACGTACTGTCCGTTATGCAGTCCTGAAAACAAAATTTTCTAGTATACTCTGAAGTTCCACTAGTCGTACATCAATTTTTGTTTACTTTGCATTACCTGGGAAACTTGAGTCTTGAATTATTTCAAAGTATTCGAGTATTTTGCTCAAGTGAAACGATGCAATAAGCGCACGTGGAGTCAACAACCATCACTTGTCAACACATTCGACAAGTGGCTGCTCAAAAACACAGGAAGCCCAGTCAAAATATTTTTGCCCTTATGTCTCTTCTCCCTTGACCGCTTGTACTTCTGGTCAAGTGTCCTCAATGGAGCATAAATATTTCTGTTTTCTTGGTGTCTTCCTTTACTTAATTACTTATGTTTTTTTTGTTGTTGTTGAAATTGTTGCTGTTGAAATCGAAAGAAAGATAGATAGAAAGAAAGGAAGGAAGGAAGGAAGGAAGGAAGGAAGGAAGGAAGGAAGGAAGGAAGAAAGAAAGAAAGCAGTCTAAATTACATCGTCTGAAAATAGGTACCCATAGACCTAATCGGCTAACGTGTTGCTATATACGTTACCACCCAATTCAAACCTTCTGGGAATAGAAGCGTTTGTCTCTACGAATTCAACTCTGAACTAAAATATAACGAACAATGAAACGTACTCCCATGTGGTTTGAATTGGGTGGAAACGCTTATAGCAACACGTTAGCCGATTAGGTCTATTGCTACGAAACAAAGTCAAGACGGACTATAAATTAATAGGGAATATGCTGGCTCACAGACCAAGTATGGGAGGTCGATCTCCTAAAGTAATGGGATCATTTTTGTGTGGCTATATGCTGCTTCCTAGAACAAGAATGGGAGACGCGCTTGGAATATGCTGGCTCACAGACCTAGTATGAGAGATGCTTCAGTACGGAGGGGCTTCTGATCTGGAAAAAAAACGAGCAAAGTCTTAACGGCTTTACGTACATTCTCACTTATTTCATTCCCAACAGGTGTGACAATATATTCAATATAGACTTTCTACTCTCATTGACAAGATATTAGTCGAGAAATGACGTCATGATTGGCCAATCCACAGATCATTAAATGGAATACCTTAGGACTAAATGCCATGAGAATAGCAAAACACTTCACTAGAGATATGACCGCGATGACTGATACGGCAGATCTTATAGCTGTCTCATTGTGGTTTAAAACCACATTCTTATGCCACTGAATAGTCAAGTTTCAAAAACCCACCTAGATTATCTTTATACATGGCTCTTTATCAAAGGTTTTATATGGTTTTATAGGCATTTGAAAAGGTACAAGATTACTGAGAACAATTTGTTGAAACATCTGGAAATAATGAACTCAGACCAGTCAATATGGACTTCATAATATTCACCGTCAGATATCTTTAATGAGTTCTAATTCAATTGGTTGGTGTACAATGACCATTGTCATTGATGAAGGGAGCTCTCTGCAGCAGGTGTATAGTGGTGGACTCGTTGAATATTAATCTCTCCTAATATTCATCACGACTGATGATTCAAAGCTTGTTTGCATGCTAAGGGCTTGGTTAGAAATTATATACCTGAAGCCTAGAGCAATTTAGTATCTAGAAAATTTTTTGCTTGGAAGAAGTCCGCTAAAATCTCTGGCAAAATTTTCTGGCAAGTTTAATGTTATGTTTGTTGTGGTGAAATTTCAAGTAGGAAGCGAAGCATAAGCAATACAGAGGAACGGACGAAATAGCACAACAACATTCTGAAGTCGGGTTTGACAAGTCGCTTTACCGTCGCTAGTTATGGAACTTTGGCAAAAGCTCAAGACCAACACGGGGCAGATTGCCACTAACTTGAGGCAAGCACAGGAAAGATACAGAGAAGAGCACAGTGCTAGCTCTAAACATTCAAGCACTCATAGCTCCAAGGAAGATGTGAACAAGAACTCATCAGCATCTAAGAAACCTTCCAAGGTGTTGCTTGTCATCGACTCTGCCGAGAACGACTGGTAAGGGAAGCTTTTAGCTCATGTAGTCAATGCCAATTTCGTGGGATATTTRAAAATATTTTTTTCAAGTCGTATACTTGTAGTTCACCTTGAAATTGACATAAATCATTGTTCACCGTTAGTGTAGAAAATGAATGGTTTTTCTGGAACTACTTGGGAATATCCTCATGATCAAAGATCAAGGCGGTCCTCTGAGACTGAAAAACGTCTTGCAAACGACTTGATCCTTTTTAGGTTAACAGTCAGAGGCCACAAAAACAAAACCTTTGGCTGCCAATGCCAAGGCAAGATAGTGAAGTAATCTCTTCCAAATAAGTAGCACTTCTCTTAATATAAATTCGGAATTCCTCTCGTCGAATTACGTTCAACATATCGTCTTAACAATATAGACTTCCTTCCTCGAGTCATTACACTAAGATTAAGAGATTTTCTGCAATTTTTTCTGATGGACTTTCTTGGTATTTTGAAGTCAATATCGAAGCCAAAATGAACTCCAAAAAATGCTCAATTAGTGAAGAATATTCAAGTGTCACACTGTACTACTGTTTGTTTACAGATTTCTCGGGTCACAGTGAAATAAATTGCTGTTTTTCTTTTCAGGGCAAAGATCTTTAAAGGAAAAACCATGCACAATGGATCGTACGATATTCGTGTGGAACAGGTGAGAAAAACCAAAACATTTGCTTCAAAAATATTGCATTTTAAGTAAATGTTTTATTACTCGAAGATAAAAGGAATAAATGGAATAAAGGGGAAAATATTTCAGTTGATGTTTATTAAACCCATAACATTGTCGAAAAAATTAGCATTCAAGTTTTAGTTTATGGCTTAATCGCAGTGTCATAAATCTTTCAGCAGTAGCTAAAATATTAAAGCTTAGAGATTCATTAAGAAATGGCCACCTTACAGATTGAAATGATTTTAAATCATACGAATTTTCACTTAGAAAAAATATTGTAAAGTAATACTAATTGAAAATTCATTAAGGTGTGTTTTAGTATACAAAATCGATGAAAATGTGGCATATCTTTCGTCGGTAAAATTGAAAAATACGGATTTATTTTGATAGCTTTGACTTATTCGAAAATATTTTACGAAATACATCAGTGACGTTTAGTTTTGAAGTAAAGGAAATGACTGTGTCAGTTGATAATGTTTTCTATAAATCAGTTTATCAGTTTTAGATCTCTGCACTTGTCATTGCCTGGAGATAAAATCATCGCATTTTAGATTTTCAATATCGATCTTTCATCCTTAGAACTAATTCCTCCATGGCTTACGATCAGTCAGAGAGGGCTTCTATAGTACATGTACACCTAAAAACCAAAATTTCCTGAAGGAGAGTGCAAAAACCGCCCACATCCTTGTACAAGATTAAAACAAACTTTTACGATATATCAATAAATACGATTCAGGTTGACTCATATTCGCGTCTTTTCATTCAGTTAACAAAGATAAAGCCGATTGTATTTTCATATAAGGCTCTATATAGATCACTTAAAGACGTTCAACCAAAAAGGGTTTGCATATTTTTTGAGGTAGTCGCTGTAAAAACCGCCTTTAACAAAACACAACAAAAAAACCCGAATATATTTAAGTATATCGAGTAGATTTTTATCCGGATAATGGAGGTCTTAAGAACGCGACAATCACCGATATTGGCTTTACAATAAATTGAATTTGAGAGCATTTCTAAATTGCGTTTTAAGAGGATGTATGTCCAACCGCCATTTGCAGTAACAATTTACGTGATCCAATCCTCTACCCACCCATAAATAAAGAGGATCTCGATATTAGTAAGAAAGAGAAATTATGTACATCAGTGCATCCATGGCTCGACATCTAAAACTTTCTGTTGCGCATGCTCGAAAAAATGGCGGGAAAATAAATGGCGCGGAACGTGTAATGAATTCTGGCGGTTATTACGAACAAAAGTCTGTTCTTCTGTAAAATCCTTTTCGAGTTTTAATTAGTTTTCTTAACTTTTTTGCACAACAGTACTTTGAAAAACGTACATCCAAATGATACTAAAAGAAATTCAAATATCGGCAGGCAGAAGGAGGAATGTCTTGGAATTCAGTAGAGACGGTTTGATTCCCTGGCGAGAAAATAAGAATGAACTGCGCAACACTGAAATGGCTTTCCATCAGTATTTTTGATTTCATCCAACTCATGCGTAGTGTTTGCTACTTGCGGTTATAGAGCAGTTTTCGTATGACTGTGAAAAGCTCAAGGCACGAACACGGACGTGAAACGGCAAGGCATGTACCAGGTCAATCACATTGCGCGAAGACAAAATCCCCCTATCAAAATCCAAAAAAAAAAACCAAATCGGTCACTGCAAGGCACGCATATTGGACCGACTTTTTTTGAAATATATGAAATAACTTAAATATTCATAACTCGTATCTTCCATATGCCAAATGCTTATATGCGCGCAACTCTAGTAATAGCTACATCGTGTGTATTGGTGCACAACACGAAACTTGTCTCACTATTCTAATTTGCGAGGAACAAAATTGACTCCGCTATGCAGAATTAAAAATGATAAAAAATTAACACATTTAATCTAAAAGCAATTTTCAAGATTATCAAACTGGCACAGTTTGAGTTAGTAAATTATAAAATATTAAAGTAGCTTGTTCTCAAATTTAGTTGAACTAAAATGCTTGAAACCATTTGGAAATTTTAATTAGTTTTCTGGTTTTGTTTTAGGCGGAGTTTTCAGATTTGAATCTGGCGTCATACTCCGACAGCGGCACGATGGTTGATATACAAGTCTGCCGAGAAGGTACTGTGGTCGTTAGGTAAGAGAAACCAAATGAGATTGATCATCTTGGGTCTCTGTGCGATTTTCTAGATGTGACGGGACGGCCATTTTTCGCAGTGATCCGAACTATAATAGTGGAGTGACGATGGAAATATTTAGTACCTCTCATGCATATGTTTGTTTAACATATCTCGTGAATGGTCGATTCCAGAGGGGATCGATCCATTAGTTCATTGAAAAGGTGTTTTCAGTCAACGAAATAAATCATGCAAAAGTCGAGGACAAGCGCAATATTCTCTTCGTTTCAAACAAAAGCATTTTACAAAAACGTATGTAAAAAAAGATAGACTAATCATACAGATGAGTTTGCAAAAAAAAAAAGAAGAAATTTCGCTTGGAGGACCCGGTTCTCGATCCCGGTACCTCTCGCATGCTAAGCGAGCGCTCTACCATTTGAGCTAGTCCCCCTGCACGTTAAAAATGGAGATCCAAAAATATAAGAAGTAGATCCCATTCATTTACCATGCCTTCCAAGAAACTATCTGTGCTTCGTCATAGCAATATCCACGCCGTATGTTAATGGTAGTCTCATTACTATCTTTGTGCATTCGTTTCCAGATCGTTTCGTCCAGATTTTGTGCTCGTGCGCGAAAGTGTGCGTGGAATTGGGCCCAAAGAGGACTACAGGAACATTATCCTTGGCTTGCAGTTTGGTAACGTACCCAGCATCAACTCACTCGAATCTATCTACAACTTCGCTGAAAAACCATGGGTGGTAAGGATTCAAAGACTTTTTTTTCTCTAGAAACTCACYTCATCTAACTTCTTCGCGCTCGGCTGCGCATAAGGTCTTTTTTCCAGAAACTAAATTTTACAAACAAAAATTGTTAAGGCGGCTTGCAACACTCTTTCTTAAATATGCTGCAATCACACGCACGCGGTCAAAGGGAGATGGCGAAATAAATCTTTTTAATTTTTCAGAAAAGAGCATTGACCGAAATTTCTGAAAGTTTCTCTAAAGGCTCAGGTCAAACATCGAACATGAGCCGAACCTAATCAAAACAATGAATAACAAGGCGGTCTTCTTTGAGGTCATTAGGTTCTGCTCATGTGAAGATCGATGTTTGCAAAAGAATATGAACTATAGTTCATTTTCTCTTGATGTTTGACATGAACCTAAGAGTTCTGACTGATTTTCTAGAAGTTTTGTTTCAATCATGTAATCTTGTTATCATTTTGTTTTTCCTCAGTTTGCGCACCTCATACAAATCATGAAACGATTAGGAAAAGACCAATTTCCACTCATCGAACAAGCTTACTATCCAAACTACAAAGAAATGGTGGGTACCAATAAACTACTACCTCATGTGTGTGATTAGTAATGAGTAGCTAAGAAGCTGATGTAAATGGAAAGTTTGAACTTGATTGTGCATAAAATCTGAAGTCTGGGCCGTTGTTTAAATCTGCACTTTCGTAGCTGACTCTAGTCTCCTACGCAGCCGCTATTAGTGTCGTCACGCCACGCTTACTCCCCTAAGTAGGAGTAAGCGTGGCGTGACGACACTAATAGCGGCTGCGTAGGAGACTAAGCTGACTTGGCATTTTTCGAAATCACAGCGGGTATTTTTTTATGCCAAGCACGTGCGCCCGCGATTTTATCCACAACCGTTGATTCAGCTGACGACTGGAGCACAAACATCTCTCGAAGAAGTTCGTCCACAGCCTTGCGCACTATAATAAATTTCGTCTTAGCCAATAAAAGCCCTCATTCTAACGAAGTTTAAGGTATTGCTGGATAAGAAAGCGGTATTCATCAATCTCATTACACACATGACGATCAGCAAGTACATACTGATCTAAAAGATCTAAAAGATCGCGTAAGAGCGTTTCAACTCTATAAAAAAACGCCACACGATAGGATTACGTCAAGCATTTCTTTTACATATTCAGCTTACTTACAATTACTATGATTATATTAACTACATGAATATTTTCATTATTTACATGCTTTATGATTAGAGTGGTTTTCATTAACCCGTGATACAAAGTGTACTAATTAGAGTGTACTATAGTCACAAAAATACGATAGAAAAGAAAGAATTATCGTGAGGTAGTGCTTAATACGCTAAGGTGTATTTCACGGCTTTACCAGTGAAAACCATTCTGTTGACCCAAAAAAAAAGCCTTGTTACACAAATAGCATAGCGTTTCGTAGTTTTTGCTATTTCTATATACAATTCAGTTTCGCCGGCAAGACTCGCCACGCTCTGCATATGAGTATTGCCGAACTTGGTCTCTACCTGACCATATCTATCACTAAGCTAATACCAACTTAGTCCCATAAACAACGAAACGATAAAACGTCAAAATTATAAGAAAAACTTCTTTTCAACATAAGAAAAATTATAAGCTTATTATAAGCTTAAGTATTATAAGAAAAATTTCTTTTCGTGCTCAAGCTTGAACCATTTCGTGCTAGGTAAGAACGAAATGCGCATGCTCAATACATGCCGCCTAGAAAAACGTAATCTATGCTCAAGTCTTGGTAAGGCGATTTCATTTTTTGTTTTTGATAAAGCACAGAAAAACGTAATCTATGCTCGAGTCTTGGTAAGGCGATTTCATTTTTTGTTTTTGATAAAGCACAAAAAACTTCACTTAGTTCGGCTGAGGCTTCACAGATGTCCCGTGCGTTCACAATTTACATAGTCTCCCTCGCATCCGTTTTTAGTGTCAACGCTCCCTCTCAGCGTTGCGTGACGACCGACACTAAAAACGGATGCGAGGGAGACTACAATTTACATAGCCACTTTTAATTCGGTAAGTTGTTAATGTCCTGTTGTTCTAAAGGTATTTTCAGTTAAGGTATTTTCTTCATGCATTTTCTGTAAAGTGCATTCGTCGTCCACGAGCAGCTTCTACCATCACTGCTCAACTGGCAGTATCCATATCTGTCTCGACATTCGTTCGCTGGATTCCGAGAGATCTCAAAATTACACGCCATTTCTTGTGACTCTTTCCCGCAATCTTTGTAGCATTTCTGATGAACACACTCGCAGCTTCGGCCGTATTTGCGCGCGAATCCCGAGCGCTGCTTCTTCGTTATTTTTTCCCACTCCATCCTTAAACTGCATCCAGAAATAGAGAGTTTTTTCCTTCCAATGTATCCCGCGATGACATAAACCTTCCCAACGTCAAGGTCCACACGACAGGAGTTCAGCTTTGATGGTGTATAAATCTTCGTAATGACACTTCTGCCGCGTGACCCGTAGACCTTCAGGCTGTCCGTCTTCTTGATGGCCGCCGCTCCTTTGTACGTCTTTGTTATTCGGAATGTGTAGACACGCTCTGCGAGGAAGCGTCCGAGGACGTTGCTTGAGACAAAATAGTTATCAGGAAGGACTTGTACTGGACCTGAGATGACCTTTCCTCGAATAACTGCAACAGCAATACAGTATAATAAGAATGATTCAACAGAAACCTGTTTTCTTTTTTGTTTTTTTTTGTGAAAAATAAAAGTTCAAAATTTTATCGAGACTCTGAAACAACCTCTGCCGGGGCTGATAAAAGTCAGGGAATGGCTAATTCATATATCGAACGGATGGATTTGACATAAAATGCATTGCGGTCATCAACGTACGTTTCGTGTTTTTACCCGTCAAAGCTCACTGAACTCATGTTCAAAATTCGTAGCTTCAATATTCATCATAGTCTCCCTCGCATCCGTTTTTTTAGTTGTGGGGAGAGAGCGTTGCGTGACGACACTAAAAACGGATGCGAGGGAGACTATATTCATCATAGTTAGTTTAGAACCGTTGATTAAAATTATTGCATTTATTTGATGATTGAAACAAATCCCGCAACAAATGACTAAAATAACGTGGAATAGGCGTGACCTCCATGTTGGATCAGTCAACCAACATGGGGGAGGCCTGACGAGCTAGAGAGCCCGGGAAGGCAAATTAAAGCGCTTATCTTACTGAGTATGCGCTCTGACGCATCTTAGACCACGGTTCCTAATATACCAATTATGAATACCAGTATCTTTGCGATTCAAAGTAATCGTTTGTTTTGATAGAGCAAAATCGTATTTTGAAAACACGCCTCGCTTCGCCCCTTCGCGGTGGTCAACTAAATCTGACCTTCGTTTGCTTGGCCGTGTCGTACAAATTTCGATATATTTTCTTAAACAACAAAGGGAGGTCTTTCTCTATTTATTTTTCAAACAGTCGAACAACTAACCAAGCTTCCTTGGTGGTCTGTATGGTTGGTCATCCTTACCTAAATATATAACAGACCCTAAATATATAACAGACTAAGTCGTTTGTTAAAAATACAATTGAGTGTATAAGCAGACGGCGCGCGAAGACGGAAAGGATTGGGATGGATCAAAGAACGTTTGCAGCCTTACGGGGAAATATGAGTATTAATCAAGAAAGAATCAGTGAACATCTTTACAAGGGCACAGCTGTATTCTAGAAACGCCTCACTCTTTGACGTCTGTTGGTAACTCGTTATGAGAAATTGTGGAAGTGCACTAATTTTAGTAGTGTAAAATTCCAATAGAAAACCATTTAGAAACCATTGCCCCAGAATTGAGGCATGAACGATCATAAAGAAGATTCAGATCAAAAATTCAAGCGTGACAAGAAGACCCCTCCTCCTCTCCCTCCGGCCTAAGCAATCCCCTTGCTCCGCTGATACAGGCGACTATCTTGTTTTTGACTTCAAGTGTTTGAAAGTCTTATTCGGACGCACGCTATGGAATTTGGATTCTAGAATGTTATTGACCTTAATACTTCCTTAATGTATGATTTTCTTTCCTTTCTCATCGTCTTGATGGGAAAGACCCATTGACCCGTTCTTAAGTTTGTCTTTGCAGTTGCTCTGAGTATTTGACGTTTATTTCAGACGTAGAAAACGTCAGTTTATCCTTCAACTATTTGGCTAATATTTCCTATAGATATTTCCTTTCTTTCTTTTCTGTCTGTCTGGAAAAAGATTAGGTTCTATTACTTCTCCTTGACCTGATTTTGACTTTTCCATAAATCTCTCATAAATCATTCGCAATTCTCATGGGCCTGAATCACGTGGAGAGCTTCAAAAGGYTTTTTGTTTAACGGGAGCTATGTTGTTGCGCTGGAAGAATACGACTGACTTTTTGAATAACACGTGAAGAGATTTCATTTCAAGGTTTTGCCTGATAACAGGGCTGCCCCGAAAGCCCTCTGTAATAGCCAATCTACACCACGATATCTTAATAACCTAAAAAGATCAGTAGATATCCCCTTTGGTAATAAAACTCACTAATAAACAATTTCTGGAGTAGAATATTAATATTGTACGAGGCAGGGGGCCAAATTACACCACTTCACGAAGCTATTTGCTTACATTAAAGTACTATTACACCTTTAATTGAGTTACCGGAAATCCATTTGAAAACTTTTGGCGTGTACTGTAATGTTGCATAAAATGTTTTGACTTAACACCTAGTTTGTTTTGCTCCGGAAGAACCTTGGGATCTAACTAAATACTACCCTGAGAACAATTTAAAGTGGCTCAGTTCTTTCAGAAAAGATTTTTTTTCGTCTTTAGAAACGTATCCTAAGGTATATATAGATCGACCGGATTTACTGGTATACGGGATCGTTCAGGAAGTTGCCTCCGGGATAAGGAAACGCTTTCTGCCCACTTCAAAGAACCATTGACTATCTCAGAGTCTTCCTGTAATTGTATTAGATTTTCCCGCTGTAATTCGTGGCTTGGTATCACTGGTTTGAAGTTCTAAGGTCTTTGGCAGATACGATATGAGTGGTATGCAAAGAAGGACCCACCCAGTTTTCGAGTTTCTACGAAAAAGTTAGATGCCGTCGATCAAATTAATTCACATCACTTTCGCTTGTTACAGAATTTCGTGCCTTATATATTCTGAATTCCCGGGTAAAATCTAATATACTAAGGAAATGCCTTCATAGATTTCCCCTCTTCTCTTTCTCTGTTTGATTAATCGATATATCATTGGTCGTCCGGACCGGCACCAAACTCGCCATGTCGCTGCATCTTGACGCCTATCTTTGTGTAAAAATAATTTCTGGAGTCGGAAATACCAGTGGACGATTGTGTTTAAACATTACCTCGCAGTTGGATTGTTCTTCCCAGCAGTTTGTATACAATCTTTATAATAGGAGCGGAAACCACACATGGATTCCAATACCGAACCGCATCACGAAAACCTTACAAAGCCATAGAAAAAACAACAACGGGAATGGATGTTTTGGCTGTATAGACAGCAAAATACACTCTTCGCCTGTTTAATTTTTCCCTGAACAAAACAATCACTGAAATAATGCTTTAATCAGTAGCGAGTTGCAGTAACAGATCATGGATTTTCCATAGAATTCCCTCGTCAGCCAATGAATATTACTATAGAATCCCGACTGCGTTGAAAAAGATTTGAATATCTGAGTAAACTAAACTGAAAACCATTTAAAATATTTAAAACTGATGACAAATTTGTTTGCATTTTTTATAACGAAATGACCTTAGGAAAACATTGCAATCACTACACTTAGTTTCATTGACTTTTTTAAGAATAGGAGTAGTCCAAACAAACTTTTAAAGAATTTTCCATTAGGTTAAAAAGGAAATTGGCTGTTTCCCTTGGACACTGAAGAGAGATGGATTCAAGTACCCTGGCCGATAAATAAATACTCTCATTCCCAACTAACAAAAAACTTTTTATCGCATTTAAACGAAATAAAAAAAAAGAATGGCTCTCAAAGTAAAAAGTTTAAAACATCTTCAAACGGTTATTCTTTCGTAAAAACTAACTGAAAAATCAAACAATCTAGACTTGAGTTGGAATATTTCTAGACGGTTCAAAAAAAACTCTCGATGAATGCCGAAGGGTTTTTGAAACAACTTATTTTGACGGTAAACGCGAAACTTTAGTTGGCAACTGAAAAACTATTTAAAGATTTAGTGAATTGCCAAGTAGTAGGATAAACAAAACTAATATTTGTGTTTGGTGAGAAGGTTTGCAAAGGTAAAGTGTAATACAGGAACACGATGAAAACTTTGTCATACATGTCTGTCCGCGTTTGCGGAATTAAAGAAAAAAACGTGTTTTCCAAATCTGTCTAATAAATCGTGCGCTTTTCAACTGCCTTGCATTTTTCACTCATTCATGTTAATTGGCTGTCCAATATTCGTACAGAGGACACTAACCCAATACATTACAACGGAAGCCACAACTGGTCCAAGTACGAGAGGATAATGGCGTCTGGAAACGGATGACGCTTTAAGGAATTTACTCCACCCCTCACAGATGCTGGACTGAACGTTATAAGCCGTGATTGAAGAATAATTAGCTATCAGCTGTATTAACTGCGATTCCCGGTGAACCGAGAATTCAGTCGTACACCGCTTTAGAACTACGTATATGTGCTGTTTCATTAAGTGAAGCAGTAAGAGAGCAGAATATCACAGTACATCGGAAATTAGTGACATTTTTCATGAAGAAGACTGAAAGTGTGTTTTTCCTTCCAATATTTCTCTTTTTTTYCCCTTCTTTTTGCTGTTGTTGTTGTCATATCTCTCTGCCGCTCTCTATTTCTTTGATTGCTTTGATATATTTGTATTCTCAGTTGGAAGAGTTTGGAAAAATAGCATTCTATTTTCTTCCATTTTCTTTCGTTTATTCCCCTATTTTCTTTCCTTTCAACAGCTGTTGCCATGAACTAGTTCTCTACAACATCTTAGTTTCCCGAGTTACACCATCGAACCTACATGACCAATACTATCTACCACAACAACGCCACGAATGTGATTTTACCAAATAATTCACGCTATTACGTGTGGGAGTTTATTTTTATAAAGCATTGAAAACTGGAGTTCAAAATGAAAATATCGTTAAGTGTGGGCAGTGTCACCCTAGGAGCCGACATTGATAAAGTAATTAGCATAACTCTCTGGATCAACGTGCAAAGAAAAAAAAGACCTGGACTTCCAGAGCCGAGAATAGCCTAAATCGGGAGCCAAGCAAACGGTCTTGCTAAGTTAACGTGACTTTCATAAATAGTTGTGCGTGTGGAGGGGAACATTACATGCTGTGAAAAGGAGACTGTACTAATTTTCTCGCCCTGTTTATCACGCAATGTCCAAGCCGCGAATTTTTTAATGTGTTATCAAATATATTTTACATGGTTCAATCGGAGCTAAATGAAATTCCTAGCACTCAAAAAGGCTCGATTTACGAGAATAAGGTTACTCCAGGTAATAGAGAAATCCAACAGCATGAATTGTTGACACAGGTATGAGCGGCTGTGAGAATAGCAGCCTTCGACCCACGTTAGCGACCTAAATAAGACATTTTTTTGCCATCTGGATATCCAAGATACTTATATACTCATTGACCGACCATCCCATTTTAATCAGGGATGATCAAGTCATGACCATCTTAGATTTGCTGTCAAATTAAGTCACGTTCTGAAAGACGCATTTTCTAGACAGAACATTCTGCGCTCTGGACTCAGGGACCAAACACTATGTTCTAATAAATCGGATTAGTGATAATCCAAATATTTTTTAAGTACAAAGAAGCTTTAGAGCTCTCGGAGTTTAGAACGAATTAGTGTGACAGCCTAAAATGGCTGTTACTTTCTGCTTATTGACTTTATGCCTTGACATCTATCTGTACTCATTCTGTAGATGGGCTATTTTTAGACAGTCGCTTGCTTCGACTGATTGTAGCTACCACGTTAGATAACATTTTGCTGCAAGCCAGCATCATTAATTTTGATAACATCAACTCTCTTATCCTCTAGAGGAGTGATAGAAAAATTCAGGGATTTGTAAACCTTGTTTCAAAAAGAACTCAGTGAAATTCAAAAAATATTTTCTTTTTGTCCATGAGAAGTTAGTTTGATTAGTCGCGTGGCTCATGATCTTCTACGTGAGAAGAATCTCAGAAGTTGTGGAAAAACCTACAGCGAAGTGGAACGAGCTCTAAATATTTAAGTAACTTGATAAAGTTCTCTCGACTTATACCAAGTGAGGCATCCCTCTTTTACTTTACTTGACTCAGCTCAAGTGTGGTCCATTAGCCACGATTACTTCTCAGGATACTAATTAATCAAGTCATACTATGAAAGATGAATTTGAAACGCAGGTGCCTTAGCTCACTAGCTTTTTAAAAATGTCTTATATTTGTACAAGGAAATGTATGTTAAGGTTTTTATATTTTACCTACCGAACTGTGCTTGACAGAAATGTTCTTGTGGATGAGCTGGCATACAAGAACAAGCACTGGTCATCGTAATGACACATAGAAGCACGACAACAGTCTCCCACAACGCCATATTAGTTCCTTGGTTCTTCACAGTGAAGATCTTGTGATGTAGGATCCAGATCGTTAGTAGAATGTGTAGTGCCAGAGTATCATAGAAAAGAAAAGTTCTGATTCAATTAAATATGTAATTTGATATTACGTCTAAGTGGATATTGTCAGCGGCATGGGCTGTGATTCTTTCAGCCCTCGTTTTCACTTCCGTTCTTCGGCAATTAATAAAAACCCTTTTCATACCAGCTTGATTATTAGGGTCGTTATGGCTGGTGAACTCTTGATCAACTTTTAATAAGGTATAATCCAATTTCTTTCGTCCAAATTCAAAAGCCGTGCAGTATATCGTCTGACGCTTTTCTGCCACGAATTTGCAAAAGTTTTTTCCCGCTTCAATCCATTCGTGCCGAAGAAGCTTCTACCTCGTGGGACTACGAGCGAGAGTGGGTGTTTTGGAATTCACGATTTAATTTTTGAAATTCCAAGAACAATATCACAAAGCAGCAAAAATTCTAGCATCAAATTCTTTTTGAATTCATATCAGTGTTTTTTTAGTTTTCACATTGAAAACACACGTCATTAATAACAGTGTCCTTCGAGGTACAATCATATTAAAAAGATATCAATATTTATGTCAACGTCGCCATTTTTTTCTTTTTTTTTTTTTTTTTTGGCTTCCGATTTTAAACACGCCACAAATTGTTCGTAAATAATGAAGTTGGTTAGCACTCCCATTGTGAAGAATAGTAAAAGGTCCAAAAAGTTCAAGTATTTCTTCAGAAAACTTTAAATTACATACGCTGGTTGGTTTGACCTTGGATTGACATTTGTTTTTCAACCACGAAACATGATTGACCTTGGCCATCAATCTTTCATTCAACAAAAACCTGGACGATGCTGGGGGTTTACAGTGTCTTCCTATGATTGTCTGTCTTTGGTAACTTAGAAATTTGGAAAACGACTACCTTAAAGTCGAAAGTTTGTTTGTTACTTTCTAGAAACCTTTGCTCAAATTTCCAGCCTTTTTTTTAAATCAGTATTTTTTTGTCTTGTGTAGACGGATTTAATTTACTGAATTCACACTCTGCAGCGGCCCCTCTCGCAGAAAAGTTTGGTCATTTAGATTTCTATAAAACTCTCATACAACCAAGTAAGCAGACTCAGTCGTCTGCACTTTCTACTGGCGCCACGTGTTTTTAAAATTTCTCGTAAAAACCTGCTGGAAAACCCATTGGAGCTAAATACCACCTACGCAGAAAATGCCAACCATCTATTTAGCATTTTTCTGTCAATATTATCACAACAAATACATCTGTTAACACGATAACTAACTTAGGACACAAAAGTAATCATTTCCTGAAGATTTTACAAATCTTTTTGCTGAAAATTTTCCAACTGAAGGTTATCTTTTCATCTGTGATTTCTTATACAATGGTGGCCACTTGATGGGAATCAATCGATGTAATATGCGAAAATATGGAAAACGGAATCTTTTATAAAATGATTTTCTAGTCGTATATTTTTCCTCCAAATATTGTTCCCCTCTCTAGTGTTAATGTCGCTATGAGACCAACCACCTACAACCTGACTACAAGGGGGAATGGGACGAGACTAAAAACAGTTGCTAAGGAGACTACTAGATGGCAAGCTAGTGAGAGAGCATCTTCTATCTATCAACCCTTACTCAGTTTCCACGTATGTAATACTCTATTTTACAGTTCCGTTCAGTGACGACGAATAATAGTTTCAAGCCGAGGCTGGAGTTGCCGGCAATGATAAAAAGTATAGTTTTGCTAAATCGAGTATTGGCCTATCCTTGGGGTGCAACCACGTGACCGAAAAATCCCTTCTGATTTAGACAATGAACCAGCCGCCATCTTGGTTGACCTAACAAGAAAAGCTTAAGTTGGAATGTTTTGTTATCGTTAACCAACATGGCGGCTATGACGTAACATGCACCCCAAGAATACTGCAGCGGTGTTCCAAACATTACAAACATTATGTCAAAATCTAATAAGCTTTGAACTAGTTTATAACTAGTGTTTGAAGTTATTAATGTAAAGTGACGTTTATGATAGCACGCGGCGCGTAGTTGTCGCGCGTCGCGGCAAAGGAAGTTTTCGTGGAAATCGATAAAGGCGTTTGAATGCCATTCCATAGGCACGTGCCCTTGAAAACTTTGTGTTTTCCCACAATTTCATGGAAACACGGCATTGACTTCCGCCAAACCCTATTTTGACGCGACGGGAAATTGTACGATTCCGCGCTTATGCTTTTCAAATGAGAAGCACTGTAACTTTTAGTCCTAATAAGCTTATAATAAGCTTATAATAATAGAGACCTTTAGCACGAAGTTCTTGCTATGTACCGCAAACCTCAAATTGCAGTTCAATGTCAGACGTTTTCCGTCAAACGTTCGACATTTAGCAAGGCGTTATCATGACGAAGTTGTTGCTGGAAGAGCCACCACATTGAATTTCATTGATGTTGAGTGTTTCTCCGTGTTTGCGGGTGTGTTTTGGGGCCTGATCCCTAGCAGTTAGCGGTAAACCTCATGCTAAAGGTCTCTAATGAATCGTGATCACGATAATTAGCCTTGACTTATTGAATGTCCTGTGCCTCTGTCTGCTCGCATCCTCACGCTGTGGTACTATTATAACCATTATGACCCTTCCGAGATCCTCCTTATTTTATCTTGTTCAATACTCACCGCCTTTCCCGCCGTCATGGCTGCAACAGCCAGTCCCCTTCTTTCCTTCCTTCCTCTACAAAGTTTATCTTTTAGCTGGAAAGAAAAACAGATTTTTATCAAGGATTTTTTTTCTATTTTTACAGTTAATTACCCCTCGTTTTCCAGTGGTAGTCAAAGTAGGACATGGGAATTCTGGATATGGCAAGGTAGGGCGTCGTCAATTTCGTTTTCTTTGGAAGGAACCGTTTCCTTTGGTTTTCCTTAGTCTAAAAATTACCTGTAGTTGGTTAACCATTTGTAGAGCACCGTAACACATGTGAAGGCAATATGTTTGTGTAGACGTTTAGTAGAATGTAAAATTAGAAATAGATTTCCTAGACCTAATTAAAATAGCATCCCCAAATGTTCTTTGTGTGAAATGTAATTTTATATTTATTGCTATATATGTTTTCCATAAGTGATTTGGCGCGTTTGCACACGTTATTTATCTCTTCCACACGGCCTTGCTCTAACTTCTTTACCTCTCCACCATAACTCTTTAATCTTGAGTGTAATGTTTCCCCATTTCAGACCACGCGTCATTCTCTTGAGATTAAGATTCTTTGTTTGAGTTGAATCCACATTCATGTGTCTTCCCATGCGCAACCGTTCAACAACAAAAAAATGATACTCTAGGGAATGACACGTGATATGAAATGGGGAAAAAACACACCCAAGATTTAAAAACTATAGAATCCAAAGTCTTTGCTCTTGTTATATTTTGTAGGTTTGTGTCCAAAATCATCGTAGTTTCCAAGACATCGCCAGTGTTGTAGCTCTGTCTGGTAATTACGCCACCACAGAACCTTTTGTGGCGGGAAAATGCGATATTAGAATACAGAAAATCGGTGACCATTGCCGCGCGTTCAAGTAAGTCAAGCCAATTAATACATATTTTCAACAAGATTAAAATCACAACTATCTACGCCTGTATTAAGACACTACAATAGTGTGGTTATTTTATCGTATCTCTATAATCATAAAAAATGCGCTATCTCTGCTGCCGGTTTTGGCATGAGTGTGAAACATACAGTACTGGACTGATTAAAGCACGTTCACGGTGCGACATGCCGTAACATTGAATTGGCTTTCCATTGTTTTCCAGTAATTCATGCAATCACAACGCGTAGTTACGGCTACGGTAAGATACGTTACGGCTATAGTACGGGCTACGCCAAGTTGTCGTATCGYTTTCCACATAACTCGTATGAAACCGTATTACGAAATTCCTTGATTTATTATACAGCAAGAAACTCAAATAATGTTTTTTCTTGTCCTATATTTTATTCCTATATGTTATTCCTTCACTCCTCATACATTTTACCGTCCTTTTCAGGAGAACATCCATTTCTGATAACTGGAAAACGAACACTGGATCAGCTGTGTTGGAAGAAATCGAACTGACAGAAAGGTAGGAGAACCGACGATTTGTACTAACTGGTCACGTGACCCTACCTCTCTTAAAATGAGCAGTTTTGTCAAAATAAAAAACAGAAATGAAAAGAGCATCTCGGCATCAGTAGGGAAGCTGAGTTTCAGCTAATAATAAGCGAAACAGGAGAAATGGTATTAGATATAAAATTGAATGTATTATAAGGATTTGTATGGGAAAATGTGATGGATGGCAAAAGCTTACCAGCCAACACTTTTCCCATACAAATCCTTGTAAAAAATTTGACTTTATATATTTAAGGTCATTTCTTCTATAGTCAACATTTCGAGCTGAAACTTCGTTCTCTTACTAAATTTGAGATGCTCTTTCCATTTCTGGAGTCATTTTGACTCATTTATTCGTTTTAAGGGGGATGGGGTCACGTGTACTGTTAGTGCAAGTCGTCTATTGTCATCGAACATGTTTAACAAGTACAGGCCACACGGGAGAAATTTATTGTTTCAGTCAACATGGCTACCTACATATTAGTGTCTAAATGTTCACTAACGGTAAAGTAAAGAATGCACAGCTTCAACAATACAAACACTTTAAGACTCCACAAACCTTCACTGAAACACACGAATATACTGCACAAAATCGAGGCTTACACTAAGCAACACAGAACTCGAAACGGGAGCATTGTAAAATGGACGCTATACTAGAGGTTGATCGCTTAACAGAGGTATAAACTACTGCAAACAAAAAGCATTTGGGACTTTGACAACTAGTCGCTAAATAGAGTTGACCGTTTAATAGGGCGTATATCGTACTCTGATTCGTATCGCAGATACAAGCAGTGGGCAGACGAGTGCAGTGAGCTGTTCGGTGGACTGGACATTTTATGCGTTGAAGTTATTCAGGGCAAGGATAAAAAGGACTACATTGTCGAGGTGAGCCAACATATTCCATTGGGATTGCTAAAATCCTACCCTTAGAATTCATCAGTCAACTGTTAGTAAAATAGGAGCATCCATTACTTTCCTTGAGAAGAGGAAAGGACATTCAAAATGGCCGCCATGTTGGTTGGTATAACAAAAGAGTGAACCAAGATGGCGGCTATGACGTCATAGGCAGCCCCAAGAAATAAGTTTCCATGGCAACAGGATGTTGACTCTTTATCAACACCTGGTTGTTCTGAGTTGTTAAAGTATTGTCCTCACCAGGTAACCGACACATGTATGAGACTGTTTAACGACACCAGAGAAGAAGACCAACAAAGAATGGCTGCACTTGTGATCAAGAAGATGGAGGCACACTACCCCCCTATCGATCTTCCCAGCTCACCCACACACAGCGTCACGTCAGGTAAGTCGTAGAGTAGATTTCGTGACGCGGTCACGGTACGGAATTGACAATATGCATCCTATTAACCAATTTCAGCGCTTGGGATGACTGCTTGTCAAAACTTCGCATGAAGCTTCTGTATAAAGATAGATCACTGTGATTGTGGAATAGGACACTTGCATTATAGCGTCATTTACTACCACTACCATAATCCCTTGCACACATTCTTTTGTTCAGTAAATTAGCACCAATTGTCTTCCTATTCTCATAAGGAAATACAAATTTGAATAAGAAAGAAAATTGGTAGTGGTAGTAAAATGATTCCATCATGCAAACGGCCTAGTCGTTTCTTTTTGTGGCAGCTCTGACATGTTTTTGATTTTGCTATTATAATCGTAACAGGGACGTCGAGTCCATCCCCTGGTTCAAAAACCAAACCAATAATAGAAGAGAGCGATGGAGCCTTCAGTGGGGTTCTGGATTAAATCATGGAATTAAGTTATGTATGTATGTATGATCACGTGACAGGACCCATGTTGGATGACAGGCGGGAGCATTAAAAATCACTTTGTTTTTGTTAGAAAGGATTTAGTTGATCGAAGGAAAGAGATTATGTTGGTTTGTAGCAGTGGTATTATTAAAATCACTTATATGAACGAGTGAAAGAATTGGTGGGGGGGGGGGGAGGATTCCCGTGTTCTGTCCTCCAGCATGGCAATACAAGATCATTAAAATTCCTCATACGAAGAAAATAATCATAATTCCTTGAATGAGAAGGATTCTCGTGTTCTGTTCTTCAACATGGCTACCAGGGCGCAAAGAATCAAATATCGAATTTTGGCGGGGGAAAGAACACGCTCGCGTTTTGTCCGCATGTACACAAGTTTGACCATTGAAGTCGTGGGTTAACGTTCTACCACAGGAAACCCAATTTCCAATCCTTACTTTTAGCCCTCGATCTTACATGAACACATTTCTTGATACATTCTGCATTGGGATACCTGTGTTAAAGTGGGCACGTTTCGTTGGCTGGGCTTCCAGTGGTAAATCTAGTTTTACTTATCAATGTATTGATGCATCAAGTTTTATATCTTACAGACTGAACATCATACGTTTTAGACATCAACAATGTTCCAAAAGATGCCATCATATTTAAAGAATATTCAATATTAAAATATATTATTTCAATCGTACGAAATTCCATACATTGGTTCACTGGTCAAAGACAAAGCATTCAACCGAGGCTGCAAGGTTCAAAGCTGAATAATCCTTTGAAAACTACCCTTTCAGCCTCGAGTGAATGTGGTTTGAGCAGTGAATCGATGTATGGAAGGAGGTGAATCTAAAAAGCCAAAAATATTCAATCAAGAAGTAAAAACTAAGAAATTAATAAATAGCTTAATTAACTAATTATAAGAAATAAAGCTAGGGTATTTAAGTGAATATTATAAATTGGTAGTTAAATAATACGCGAATTGAAAACGAATTGAAACGAGAAAATAAAAATGGTAAGAAAGTGATTTGCAAATTTCCTCAATTAAATATGTATTTCCTCATGAGAACAGTAAGACAATTGCTGCTGATTTTCTAAGAAAAGAAAGTGTGTGCGCAAGGGATTCTGGTAGTGGTAGTAAATGACACCAATTGGCGTCAAACAATCACGTCATCAATGAAATATCACTTTGATAACGAATCAATTCCTGCAAAGATCCCTAGGGGAAGGCTCTGCTGCTACACATGTGTGCCCTCAAATAGGATCACATCTTGCAAATTCGTGAAGGACGACCCCTGCTTGATCGCATACAAACTTTGAATTGCTTATTAACTTGAAATCGAAAGTATCTTACAAGGGAAAATAAAGCATTTTGAAAAAAAGGTTTTGGATATGACATTAGTAATCCAGTAAAATGATTTTGAATAAAGGAAGTTCGATTTTTCTTCCCCTCCCGTAACAGTCACGTGATTATGTCCTGCAAATGGCCTTGTCAAAAGACCCATCGTCTATTTGATCGCCCTGGCAACAGCAGTGACGTAGACGAGGTCCAAATCCTGTGATATGATTTCTATTCGGACATGAAAAGGTCACAAAGATATCTCTTTCTTTTTGGCAACCATATACCCCACCTCTTCGTCTTTGCTGTATGAAGAAATCCAAACTTTTGTTGAATTTTTTTTAAAAGGGCACAGTTCCACATTACGTGATAATGAAAGAGATTACCCTAAAAGTATCGTCCTTTACACACCGGGCGCCACACTGGTGCCTGAACTTTGATCCTAAAAGCACATGGACAAAAGCAATTCTCCAAGACCCAAATGAATGCGCCTTGTTTGTAAAGACACAAACAATTTTATGTTATAAGACAGTTCTCTTTTTGACAAGTTCATTAACTGCGCAATCAAATACAGGTCACGAACAGGCCTTGAATGTCTAGAGGGGATTTCACTCATTACCCACTTGGTAATTAAGGTTGTTTGATAAACACGTCGAGTGGAAAACATGAAGATTTCTAAAAAAAAATTAATGCAATTCAGATATTTTTGGATATTCTTTGGACAAGTTGTGCAGGCATTCGCAAGAAATATATCAATGAGGGGGGGACCTCGTCTTATAGGGCAGGATAACACCCATTCGCATATATTTTATCTTTCCGTTGTATGAAATTTTACAAAATCTTTTTCTTCTTTTCTCCTTTTGAATCGGACGCAAAAATAAAGTCAAAGAAGAGTGTCACTTTTAACAATATCTTTTGCAGGCCCGGCTTTATCATTGAGTTAGGCTCAGGCCAAACGTCGAACTTCACATGAGCCGAACCAAATTGAAACAATGGATAACAAAGCAGTCTTCTTTGATGTTATTAGGTTCGGCTCATGTGAAGCCCGACGTTTGACACGAGCCTTAGTGTAGTACTACCGTATCATTGAAAATACATGTACTTTGATTTGTTCTTTAATCAGTTTGTTGCCCAATTAATGCAGCTGAAGGTTTGTTTCCATCACTACCACTTTAAAAAGGGTCGCTAGTACACCCCCTCCTTAAGTCGCCTGCCCTTTACATGCGTAAGGCCTGTGAGAAACACGAAAACACCATGGGATAATGCAACCAACGTTTGAGCTCTTACCGTGGTTGTCTATCCGATATGTTATTATCCCTACTTGACCGAGCCAAGAAGAACATAACTTGAAAGTTTTTATTTAAAACTTTTTTTAGTCCATGTTTGATTGATGACGGGAGAGGTGGGGTTTCATATTAACCACATGTGACGTGTTCAGTCTCAATGATTGTGTCATTGAGCTTGTCGTTCACTGGCTTAGGGATTACCATTATATTGATGCAATCTGGGAAAAAAACCAAAAAAAACAAGCGCAACAGTCTTTGGAGATTTTTGTTTACTGTAGTAAATGGAAACAGAGGTCTTCATTCATAGCGCGCAAATGCATTTAGTGTAAGCTTAGGATTTTGCTATGTTGAAACCCAATGCGACCTGCGGTCCTTGACTTGCAAGTAAAACTCTGAGAAGTAGCAGGAGAACAAGATTGTCAACGCGGCTTGTAGCTGTAGTAAGAAAGCATCAGATTTCTCAACACGCGATGGGTTTGCTATTATAACAAAATGTTGTACATCTTGCATTCTCATAAAGTTCAGTTGTCTTAAGAAGCAAGGAATGAATATTATTATTTTATATGCCCGTACCAAGTTCTTTGAAAGCGCACTCTTTTCCTAGTGCTTTTTAGATTCAAAACACTTGGAAAAGAACAAAAGAGAAGCATTTTTTCATGTGCGCACCATACTACATGAGTGTTTGTTCCACGGCCACCTAGAACAGTTTAACCTCGATCCCTAACTGGTTCAGTAACTTGAAACACCCTCATGTCTCTAGTAGCTACATTCGACTGTTTTGCACATGCTGCATCATCTGTGCAAAGATGCTGCAAGACTATAATACAAGTACCTTTATATATCTCTGTTTGGTGCTTTGCGCGTTTTGTATAAGCAAAAGCGCACCACCGATTTGCTCGCTAGAAATAATGATGATAAACAGAAGTTTGCGCAATTGTGCGCACTGATTAATATATCATGAATTTAAGCCGTGTATAAATAAGAATAAAAGTATCCCAAACACAGGAGTAATTACGCGCTCTCCTAAGTTCGTTGCGCAGTATATGATTGCTTGGCTGAGCGCTCCATTTGGCATGGTTTAACCTCGTACACTACTTTTGGTATATACACCGCGTAATATAATATCCACTGATCTCTGTAGACATTACACTTCGGGTTGACGTCTGAATGAAGTGTTTTTGGCACAGTTCTTGTCGTTACCCTCTTCGAGGTTTCATTAATTTGTTACTCTCGTGTTCTGCTCAAGTAGGTATACATACTTGTGTCATAGGGTCACTCCGTATCTTTCTTCCCCACTTGAGAACTCAATACGAGGTAGACAACGAGTCAACGATAAAGTTGAAACCCATAGAATCTCGTCTGACCCCCTTGAGAGAATATAAACAGACCTCTTTTACCATAATGTTTTCCCATTTCACACCACGTGTCATTCCCTTGAGAATAAGATCCTTTTTTGAGCTGTATCCATGTTCATTGGTCTTCTCATATGCAACTATTGAACAAAGAAATGATACTCTAGGGAATGACACGTGGTCTGAAATGGGAGAACCTTACGTCATAAGGTAGAGAGATAAACTCGATCACTTTGATGAAGTACAAAAAAAATGTTGTTTCCGGATTGAGTTCACATGGTTGAGCGTTTAAAGTTCTTAATTCAATATTAAGTAGAAATCATAATATTTATGATAGAATTAGCTGAGTGAGTATTGTTTTTTTCTGCAAGGCTAAAAATATTCAAGGACTCCTCATTGGTAGATGAAAGAATCCCTTTACGACTCAGTATCAGGACTGACGGGGGCAAAAATATCGTAATTCTTTCCCGTCTCTCCAGTTGTTTTTCATCATTCTACTTCTACCTAACCATTGTTCCTTTTTCTTAATTCAAATACATAATCGATCATTCACCAAGTTTCAGAATGTATAATTATTGGCGTTTTTTTGTTTAAGAGTTACGAGGTTTCAATCAATCCATCGTCGATTGACACATGGTTTTTTTTGCGCATCACGAACGATGAACAACAATCTCAAAAAATCTTAGCCCTCTTCATAGATCATATGCCTTGCATCGATTCTACGCGCGCTTAAAATGGCTCAAATTTTGTTTTCGATTTTACATCGTAAGGTTTTTCGATCCTCGTAGAAGTTTAGCAAGCTCAAGGCTAATTCATTTATAATGGAAAAACTGTGCTTGTAAAGGTTTTTGGCGCGCTTATGAAAAAAATGCCTTGACACTGAATTTGGGTATTATTTCATACCGTGTGTTGTTTGTTGGAGTATTATTTCTTTCTTTACTAATACAGCGTAAGTATACGTTTATATGTAACTCATTAGTTTAGAAAGTTTATTCTCAACAGATTTGATATGAAAATCGAATGCGCGCCTGATAACGATCTACCTATATTGACTAATCACTAGCAACACAAGATCAGACAATCCGATTTTAATAAAGTCTACCCCCTAAGGTGTTTCATTCAACACGTACAACTTAATCAAACACTACTCGAATTATAACCCTTTAGCACTTTATAAAGCCCGTCCACAAACATAAAAAGACACAAGCGTAGCGTAGGCTTGGTGTAGCCCTTCTCAGACCAGTCTCGATCGCATCCAAAGTCTTTTGACGTCGGTAGTCTTGAGCTAAAAACTCCAGCTCATCAATATGGATTTCAGAGCATCTATGGCTGTTGTTTTCATAGTAATAGTTGTGTTTTTCTCGTTTGCTGATGGCAGGAGTGGGAGACGTTGCAAGTGCAGATCAGTGACTCATCCTCAAGAATTCTTCTGCAGATCAGACTATGGTAAGACGATAGAAAACAACACTAGTATATTAGAAAAGGATAGAAATGTACTTGGATAATGGAAAAAACTAGCGAAGAAAATCCGGTGAAACAAGCAAGGTACAATTTCCTACTGTGGTACGATGGCGTGCTTCTAAAATTATTATATGATATCAGTCTATATAGTTCAGTCTTTTAAGTCAAAAGTGAAGGATTTTTTATTGAAGCAATCAAATAAGGGGTTGGSAAATTAGATTGAATTATTTAATATTTTACTAGGTTAAGACAAATTTTTAATTTTATTTATTTATTACTAATATTTTTCTTTGCTGGATTTGATAAATCGGTATAACAAGTTAGATTTATAGTAATATATTTTTCTAGATTTTAACATATTTTTATAGATTTTATTTTTATTTCTATTTTATATYTTGCCTGGTGATCTGTTTCCATATGGGGTCTAGGACTCCTTTACGGATTATCCATATGGCTCTTTCTTCTCTCTATGTTCTCTTTTATTGCCATTAAATTGATTAAATAAAATAAAATAAATAAATAGAATAAAATAAATATGGTGACCTATAGAGGGATAACTTTAGATGACAAATCCCTATTTCTTTGCAAAACTAAATATTGATTTCTGATCGGTTCTCAAACACTATCAACAAACAAATAAATAGTAGCAGAACGATCATGGATAATGAAAATCGATCGTTGATTTGGTAATTACATGGATTAAGTTCGTTGCTTGCGCATCTCAGGTAGTTCAGAATCTCTCGCGAAGTTTCAGCTTGGATCAAATCACATCAATAAAGGCTTAGCAAGCCTCCCCTGGAAGAGTTTTCCGTTTTCAATGCTCAGAACCTAGTTGGAAAATGAAACAAAAGAGGATCTCCAGCAGAGATCATTTATTTTCTTCGTGTTTACAAAACCGCGCGACACTCTACTCTGTGTGTTGCGGCTAATGAGTAAATTAAAAGGATAGGGCGCGTGCTGACAATGGATTGTTTTTCCTGATACTTTGTAGCGAAATGTGAYCCATTAGCATGAACTTCCCCAGTGAACAACATTTGATATAGTTTTGAGTTTCTAAGAGTCCAGCTCTCAGCTTATTGTTCTTTAATTTACTCAAAGGTTTCAACATTTCACTCAGCATCACAACAAGGTTTTGATAGGAAGAAACAAACCTTTGCTACTTACAGATAGACTAAAGAAACTTAAAGCTATTGGGACTATATTTTCTGTGCTAAAAATCATATTTGATGCTCTGGGTCTGGAACTATGGTACTAGGAATTACATTGCCAAGATCTCTTTTCTTTTTTCTTAAATTTATCCAGAAACGGAATCAAACTCACTGGGACTTTGAGCAAGATTATTGCCATATGCATGTGGATGTCTGCTCAGGACGCATGATTTCCCAGCCGCGCATTTCTTGCTGTTCAGAACTTTACTATTTTTGACATTTTTACCGCCTCATCTCTATTTTTGACATGGCTAGCTCTCTGAAATGAATAAAACTTGTCGCCCAGAGGCCGGGGTTTTTTTGTTTTTTTTTGCACCAGGTTGTTTGCACGTTTTTATTATTTTTAACCTCTTAACACTGAACGTGTTGATAATTTCCTTATATCATTCGACTCTACTACGCAGCCCTTGGGCTATATGACCTTGAGCCGAAGATAATGAGTATCCTTTTAAATAGTGAAGAAACCGTACGTGCATTGTCATTCCAACTTGTCGTAACTTGAAGAAATTTTGATTGCGAGTATGAGATTTAAAAACAATCCATCATACACGACTTCGGTAGTGCTAATCATATTATTGAATACGGAGGACCTGTGTAGATGTAACTTAAGACGATATTCTTAGACCGTGTGCGCATTTCAAACATATATAAAAACCCAGCTCGTGTATCCGTCAATAATCCAGCAACGTGACGATACTTTCTCAAGGGCGGACCCAGGGGGGGTCAAAGGGGGGCTGAAGCCCCCCTTCAGCAGAAAA